CACCCAGGGAGGTTCCCTTGTCTGACGAGGTTTCTCCCACAGGAATAACACCCGCGATGAGTGAGACCAATATCGATGAAGACTCTTCATCTGGTGATGACCCATATTCCCTCCCAAGAAGAAATCGTCACACAGACAGCCCGCCCGAGGTAAGTGATACTGATTCCAACGAGAGTTCATCTGGTGGTGACTTTTATTCCGTCGCAACAAGAATTTCAAATATAGGTATTACTCCCAAGGTGAGTGATGCCTCCCTCAGTGAGTCCCAATATGAATCATTCCCAGAATCAGGAGAAAGCTCTCTTTTCGTGAGTGCAGGCGAATACAATACCGATGAAGAGGAATATAATGGAATTGATGAAGACAGCCTCGATCTGAACCAATATGACGACGAAGAAATGTACGAAGATCCGACAGAGTCCGAAGAACCCCAAACTTCCAGCCAAAAATGGCCGAGCAATTCTAGTGACAGGAGGCGTCGGCGTTCTCTAGATAACCAAGCTCAAGCTGATGCTGAACACAGGGGTCTTTATGGATCGAGGGGCGGTAGCGCCAGCAGCAAGCGCCAGCGTCTTGAAGGCTCGACCGACGCCTCAAGCGGGTTAGTGAGGACCGGTGTCGAACCGACAGTGAAGAATGTCACCAGGTACAGAAATATAGGAGCACAATATCAAGCATGGATCGACAATTCCCAAGCGCCAGGGTGCCGAATTCAACCGGCAACATTAACTATAGAGGAGATGATTGACGAAGCGCAATCAAGACCTTGGGCAGTCGATGAATCGTACTTCACCGTCGAGCCAATGGCACTACAAGGCGGCGACGTCGAATCGATGAATATTGCTCGCGGCGGTCCGCGGTGGCGCTACACGCACCTCCGACAGAACCCAGGGCCAAACACACTCGAAGCCAATGAATTTGAACATCGGGTTGCTCGTGGAGTTCTTGTTGCCAAGAGAATTTGTAGGGAAGACGGTCCTCATTGGAATGAGGTTGCTCGTGCTCAATATTTGCTTGATTTTAACTTGAAAACTCTGAAACATGTTATCTTTACTGACATCGGGAATGAAGAAACAGCCTCATATATACGCCATGAACTATACCCTAGATCGGGTATCATATGGTCACAGGCACAAAATGCTGAGTGTATGGTATTTAAGCATGGTAGTGCTGAGTATCAAGAGCTCCTCGGGACGAAGTTGGGTAAAGCTACGGCTTGTCTTATTCTTTCTTCATTCCCTAGGGGCACGATGAAGATAACTCGTATTGTCACCTGGTGCAATTCGACTGTGCCGCAGATGCGATTTGAGATTGAATACGTTATTGCTTCGCCTATTGCTTCGCCTATTGCTTTGGCTAGAGCTGCATGAGCTGTGTGATTTGATTAATTAGCTGTAATTGCATCTACTGGTGTTAGTATCTAAATTTTGGAGCTTTTAGTACATAGAAATTCTCATTTTGCTACGACAATGTCCCAGATCCCTGCTATGGTAGATAACATTATGTTCAAAAAGTAGGCATTAGTCGGGTCGCTCATACAAATGGGATGATTTTCAAGCTCAGAATTGTCCATCTACTATCTCATTATTTTGAAGGAAAGAAAAGAACAAAAACAATTATGCTTTACACAACGGCTTGAGGCCTAGATGCTTTTAGGAACTCATCAGAAATGTTCGACGCAAGAATGTATACAAGAATAGACGATGGACAGTCAAAGAGAGCCAAAAAAAAGTCATGAAGTTTACAAACAAGGTACCAGTACCAGTATCATACAGCATCGGCAATGATAACCTCAGCAGCCTTCTCGCTGATCATATAAATGGGTAGGGCGATATAGTACCCCGGAATTTTGGGAAAGACCGAAGCATCCACAACACGCAACCCGTCAACTCCACGAACACGGAAGTCAGCATCCAGAACAGCCTGAGGATCCCCGTCTTCTCCAATAGCAGCGGTACAGCAGGCATGGTGGCCCCATGCCTCTTGCTTAATGAAGTCTTTCATCTGACTCTCGGTAGTGACATTGGGCCCCGGCCAGACCTCTTCAAATCCGCCATCTAGGGGAATAAGGTCTTTGAAGATTGTGCGGGAGAATTGCATTGCTTCATATACAGCCTGAAGGTCCTTATCATCTGCACCATCCGTGGTCACTCCGGCATCGAACGAGTGGAAGTTGATAAGGGGCATATCACGCGGGTCAGTAGATCGGAGCTCAACCGTGCCAGCATTGTTGCGGGAGCGAGACTTTAACGTGATCCAGGTCCAGTGCTGGGCATCTTTGAGACCCTCGTACGAGTAGTTGGGGTAATAGCCAGGGAAGTTGACGGGTGCTCCTGAGATCAGTAGGTCGGGTTCATCCTCTGCGACAGAAGACTTGCGAATGATGGCGATGGCAATTCCATTGGTAGTATATGTGCCTTTGAAGAGGGGGTCGTTTTCATACTGTTCCAGACATGGGTCGGGAAGAGAATACAAAAAGGTACATTTGGATGTGAGGACGAAATCGGTAGGTGACTTGCCCACTGTGCCCGTCTCATATCGGTCCTGAAGATTGCGACCGACGCCGGGGAGATCTACTAAAGTTGAAATTCCAAGCTTGGACAACTCCTTCTTTGGACCAATGCCACTCAGCTTCAGCAGTTGGGGAGTGTTGAACGAGCCTGCAGACAGGATCACTTCACGAGCTGCACTCACACTACCTGGTATCCCATTAGACGATGTTTGGGAAGCCCGAGGATCTGCGCGATAGAGGCTCTGCCCGCGAAGGTAGTCAACCCCGGTAGCCCGTGGCTTAGCTCCGGTGGTGTCGAACCGAAGCTTCGTTACTAGGGTGTTCAACTGGATATCAAGGTGATATTTTCGCGAACCATCGGAGTTCACAGCGTTGACTGTCTTCATGAGGAACTCTCGAGGACCTGTCCGCTTGTACTCAGGAACATCCACCGCGAGAGGCACTTGATATGGACCCTCCTCGTAGTCACGAGAGGGAAGGGGATTGTTTAGGTCACGTAGTAGGACTCCTGCAAGGCCCGTGACTGTGGTGATCAGTTTACCCAACAGTGTTTGCCCCGCGGCGGTCGCACCAGCTAGGATCAAGGACAGAAGCTTTTGGTCTTCAATGACGAGACGCAAGTCTGTAAGACTTGTTGTAAGCCATCCGTCGAATCCGTGGCCCACCAAGCTGCTGGGCAGATATCGGTTGCGCTCTAGTCTCTGAAAGTATTGGCGCATATTTGAGGCAGACCATGAATCATTGCCAGTGAGACTGGCCAGTTGCTCCCAGTCATTTTCGTACGGGTAGATGGTGCTATCAAGGTACTGGTTAGCATATGATAGCGACGTGCAGAAACCGGGGAGAAGATATGGCTCACATCATGGCATTGTGAGCAGAGCATCCACCTAAAGTGCCTGCTCGAGGGTATAGAATCCCCAAAGGCTCGGAGCCATTGGGCGCATTGCTTCCCACATGGAGATCACCAGCAGGTGTCCGGTAAGTCATCTTGCTGTCTTCTTTTTGACGAGTCAAGTTCGAGTAATGGTTCACGAAATAGTCCCATCTCATCGGCTCGTATTCAGTGGACTGGAGTTGCAGGGCGGGGACAATTTGCTGGGTCGCATTTCCCTGGTCATCTCCTGCGTCCAGAAGAAGCACCTTGTATCCCGCAATAGCCAATCGTGCCGCTACAGGGCCACCTCCAGGGCCAGAGCCAACAACGACATAATCATACTTTGTGGTGGAATTCTCGTTATCCGAAGACCGCTTGTGTGTGTCATGATATCGATGATTTGACCCATGATTACTGTATTATGGCGTTAGTTTTTTGTGTCATTAAGGTCTGAGTAGGGACTAAAGGTGCACCTACAAAGCCAAGACAACTGAAAAGGTGGACAGTAGTCCAACTACTGCAGAAAGACGCATGACGAAAGAGAAAGGACGGAGACGTACTCCAGAATCGAAACGGAAAAAGCCAAGAAGAAATCTTGAGCAAACAAAAAAACACGAGCAATTAGGGATATATGAATGACCACGAACCCCTTCTCCTGGCTCTATTATAAGACCGTCATAGAAGCAAAAGCACCGCGACCACCCATAATACATAATACAATCTTTGGCCGTGCTACTGAGTACATTCTTTCGTTTTCCTTACAAGATCGACATTACAAGATCGACATAAGCTTCTATTTTCCAAATTAGCTTGTGTCACGCATGGATATCCATCCCGCGACACGACACCAATACTGCCCTGGTAACAGACTATTTTGTACGTAGAAATGGCCCTCACTCGTATTGAACTAGGTCTGAACGTAGCCGTGTCTTGGCAAAGTATAGATAGACGTTGATACCTTTCACTTGTGGGACAGACCGGCCAATCAATATGATCCAAATACTGACCATCCGTGCTAACCTCTCAGCGTCTTCTCTATGCCGTTTGACATGCCGATCATATAGCTTTCCGACAGCCACCAATCTAACGGTGAAGCTACTCCCCTAATTTAGAGTTTCGGGGAGCATAAGGAGTATATACTGCTAAGCCACATTATCGGAAAACTAAATGGATTGGGATCTGATATTCACACTGGAAAAGCTAGCCACCTGGAAATTGCCCCACTCTTCGGTTAAAAGGCATGTAAAGGATTATTCCGTGCCTGAAAGCTAAAGCCCCTTATTGTTGTTGCAGAATCGGGGATGTAGCGATGCTATCCACCAACGTCTGCTGAAATATCCTCCTATATTATATGAGGTTAATTTAATATTAAAAAAGTATGACACTTGTGAATAAGTAGAGTTTTATCATGCTTAATTATGTTGAATACATATATTTAAAAAATATACACATCGAATAGAAACATCATCCCTTTTGTGAGATCTAGTAAACTATATTGGCAAATAACTAACTAAATCACTGAATAGATAGAAAAATAGAAAAATAGAAATGAAATTAAGGAATTTAAAGACATTCCCCACTCAAGAACACCCCGCCCCTACTTTCACCCTTAAACTACACCGGCTGGGGGTGGTGTAACCGGGCTTCATCAGAGATGTCCAGCTCATCAAGTGGGTAGAATTGCCGATCAGCACTCTTTCTATGCCCAGGGATACCCGCAAATTGTGATCCATTTCCACGGGAATGAGAGTTCATAGCATATGACGATTTGGCTGGCGCAGTATCGCCAAAGAGTGTGGGGGATACACGACGTAGTAAGGATCGAATGGCAGGCAGACACGCACATATAACGCCAACATCGCATTCAATAGTACTCCAATACCCAATTGTCACATAATCCCCTTACAGATGTCAATAGAACTGCATGCATTGAAATAGGAAAGAGAAAGAGAATACTCACATGTTAGGTTAGTGGTAGAAGCAAAGTGAATGAGTGAATTCAGCCGCAGGATGCTGACAAGGGTGACACTGAGCTCATCAGTTAGTCAATGAAAATTGTGGGACAGACTGGAAGGGAAGCGCACAAAATACCCAGGCTAAACATGCATATCACGTATGATTTTCTTTTCACAGAAAGGTTTAAACGGTATAGCTGGCGCAGTGGAAGCACCATGACAATTATATCAAGGACCATGTTGAGCACTGCCGCTGCCCAGCCCTGTGCGTTGATATGGTTGCACTTATAGTTCTCCTCTCCATACCAGCGGTGCCACGCTCCGGGTAGAGGTCGACACTGGAACACCGAGATCAAGACAAAGGCAATCAAGTAACACACATTCAGTGCAATTACCACGTAAGTTGCTGTCCGGAACGTCCGATCAGGGAAGATACGAAGGTAGAAACAGCAAATTGATATTTTGGTCAGCGGGAGAATGCTCAGATAGAGCAATTCATCCCAAAAATAGACCTAGGGTAATTAGACAAATTGCCTTGGCAATTGCATGGAGTCAGGGTGTATAGTAGTACTCACATATAGAATATGGGTGATGTTATCGAAAGGAAGGGTCCACATATCCTTTCCTAAACCTGAATTGGCCACTATACAGAATGGTTAGTCGAGAGAAGGTGCGTTTAACCAACTGCAAAGGGGAACATACAGACGACCGAGAGTGCTGAAAGTGGAATAAGTAAAGCCTGCCAATTTACAGTAAGAAAAGATTTCGGTTCGAGCAAAGGGGAAGGTCGTGTATACCATTGTTAACATCAATGTCCAATCATCCGCGCCAAAAATGCCACCACAGCAGCTCAATCGAGCCAGCATCCGGAGAATGAAAGCAATAAGGGCTACAATTCCACCGCCAATCCCTGCATGAGAAACAAACTTTGTGTGGTCCCGGATAGGGGCCCCGCACGCTGATGTTGTGACATTTTTTGTAGCTTGTGTATGTTAGCAGTGATGACCAGTGGGATGAAAAATGAAACTATTAACTCACTCAGAGATTCTCGAATTGTGCAACTAGAAATAACGCATTTCTGGAGAACAGCTGTGTAATGTGTATCATTGCATAGACATGCCTGGTCAGTTGTCTCGCAGGAGGATTGCGACACTGAAGTCATCATACACTCCAGCTTTGAATGGTTAGTATTATGAGCTCGCACCAAAAGAGGGGTAGAAAGGCTGCACTACCTACCGCACACGAGGGTAAAACGGCCGCCAACTGTTCCATCCCTGCTATCACAGTTGTTGCGAACAAGGCGGCCACGAGGGCTGCTGTACTGAACAAACGCATGGTGAAGTTTGCAGGGAAGGATGCATTCGCGATCAGGAGACTGACAAAGAAGACATGGGCTGAATTTGATCAGGCAACCTAGGAGAATCTAATATTATGAGATTCATGACGATCCCTTGACTAGGATACAGGAGTTTGTTCTGCCTTCCTGTTGGGATCGTTAGCGTATGAATATCTTAAGTTTAGGTGCCGTGTTCCTCGCTGAAACATACCTTTCCACCTGTTTGGGTGTTTGGGTGCGAGATCTGCCATTGTCAGCATTTCGGCCACTGTTTCAGCTCCCTGCCAAGCATCGCATCGTCGTCTGGGATTAGTCTACAGCTTCATGAGTTCTTGATGTAAAAGACACAATACAAGCACTTTCTATACAGCCATACAACCAGTAATCTTGGATGTCTTTTGGGATCTACCGAGAAGTCGCCTTACTTATTGTCTCGTGGACATGGTGGCCGATTTAAAAAATTGGGATCTGCACTTATACGAGAGTTTCCCCAGCTCTTAGCTCTCTCTAGACCTTTTAGGGGCCTGAAAATACTGGCCTGCCTTCATCTACTCCGTAGCAAACCAAAGAGCTTAACAAGTCGCAGGTTTAGCTTCGGATTTTGACACTATACCCCACCCGGAACGGGTTTCTGCGTTTCATTCCTATAAATGAGCCTAATCGTCTCTAGGAAGGCCCACAAGCGGGACAGGCTTCGGGAAAATTACTTTTCTGGCCCATTTTCGCCTAGATCCCACGAGGAACATCCGAATATTATCCGTAGTGGGTCTACGGTCCTGCTGTTTGAGGGAAAGATCGCTTCGATATTTACCATCTCTGTTGTACACCCACCTTTTGACGCATATGTACCTTAAAAGCCCAGGACTGTGATCGGCACTGTCATTGAACTAAGATTTAACTTCACCGCGAGGCGTGCGCCAAGATTCGTGTCCGTCATAAGAGCGTTCCAACATTCCCAATTCAGGTCTGATCAACATCAACATACAAATATATCCATAGTCCACCCGCGATATAGCCAAGCGGATGGCCATGCAGAAATCAGGGGCCTGTGTCGTGCTATTCGCAGTCCGTTACAGGGGTGCTGAAAGGGATGTACAATGGAATGCTTTGAGAGAGAAAGAGCCGGAGCGTTCAAGCTGATTGTCGACATCAAGTGGGGCAGTTACTTTACGAGATGCGATGTATTATTTGCAATAAAATACCATACAGCTGCCGAGTTGTTTCTCGATGTACCCCTTTGGGCCATAATTGAATATATTGTACAGTAGACTCCGGCGCTAAGACGGGCCATTCAGGGGATAATCATTTCTCAGCATGTGTACCACTCGGAGATTTACCTAGGCACATAATTGCCGCGGGATATCTAAAGGAGACATTGTTCCACTCTTCTAGAACAGTGTTTGTCAGTCACTCATTATATGATCATTCCTTCGATCCTAAGGGGAAACTGGCATTCATAGCGGAGGATCAACACATTCGTTTATCATGCGCATGTTCACTATAGGGCTGTTGCTCTGGCCACTGTCGCTCATTAACCTAGTATCAGCCTTCCCGGGGTCGATGAATGGCCACGATGGCCACTCAGGACATCAAGGCATGCACAAGTCTTGCCCATATGCAAACGCCCAGGACGAAGTCAAGCCGAAGACGGAACACGAAAAGCGGTTTTTATTCAATTTGATGAAATCCCCTGTTGATAGTAGGTCACAAAATTCTTTTTGCGCTGTTGCAATTTGTAACGGAATATCTCTAGTTAGCGGCGAACATACATTCCAGCCCCCGGACTTCGAGAATGGTGACAAGCGAGGCCCATGTCCCGGTCTCAATGCACTCGCAAACCATGGATATATCCCACGGAGCGGAGTGGTATCGGTAGGTAATTCCTGTGCAACATATGTAAACTAAGCTAAACGTGGGAAGTTCGTAAATGTGATTGCCGCGATCAACAAAGGTACAATTGCCCCATGAAAGTACTGATGCTGCATATTCTGACCTTTGTTCTATAGTCTATGGCATGGGCGTTGATTTGGCTACCATCCTCGCGATCATGGGTACTGTCTGGACTGGAGACGTGCTGTCTCTCGATCCCAGTTTCTCCATCGGGGGTCCCGATACTGGCGTTAACAACCTTCTAAATAACTTGGGTGGTGTTCTCGGTCAGAACATCTTTACTTGCTTGCAGATCTTTGTAGACCGCTAACATTACTTGCAGGCGAACCTCAGGGCCTGATTGGCTCGCACAACTTTATCGAAGCAGACTCCTCCAACACGCGAGACGATCTTTACGTTACGGGCAACAGCTGGACACTGAACATGGACAAGTTCATGACTTGGTATAATATGTCTTCCGACGGAACTTATGATATGGGTCTCATGGCCGAACGCGCAAAGATCCGTATGGATCAAACTATCCATACAAACCCCGATTTCTATTACGGACCTGTGACTGGGCTCATTGCGCGCAACGCCGGTTACATTTTCGCAGGTCGGCTGTTTCGAAATCACTCGACTGAAAATCCAGAGGGAACACTGAGTGAGTTGATGCGATAGATCGTTGAATGCGACTGGTTATGCAAGATTTGCTAACGCCTATCCTAGCTAAGAGCCACCTCCGGAATTTCTATGGCATTTACGGCCCGGAACATAATCTGACCTACCGCGAAGGATGGGAAAGGATCCCCGAGAACTGGTACAAGACGCCTGTGGACTATGGACTCATATCACTCAACTTGGATCTCATTGGCTTCATATCGAGATATCCGGAGCTTGGAAGGTAAGAGCTCAGGCCAGATTCCCCGTATCGAGCAGTTTCTAATAATAATATGAATACAGTATTGGAGGCAATACGGGCGAAGTAGACAGCTTTGCCGGAGTTGATCTAGGGGATTTGACAGGTGGTGTCTTGAACTTGGCTGGCCTGCTGAAGGATAATAACTTGCTGTGCTTCGTGACTGAAGTGTTGAAGTTTGCCAGCCCCAATGCGCTTGCTGGGATATACTCGACTGTAGCTGCACCGTTGGAGTTTGTCACTAATATCCTCGCTGTGCCTTTGCTCAACTTTACTTGTCCGGCATTCAAAGATCTTCAGATGGGAGGGAAGCCGCTATGGGAGGCGCTTCAAGACGACTTCCCTGGTGCTCTGAAGAGTAACCGTTCGTTTTAGATATTGTGGGGTTGTTGGGATCGGCGGTACTATAAACAATTGAGCGATCATTTTCTTAGTAGAATATTTTACTAATACAGTCGACTTGTCCTGTGAAAAGCTGAAATGGGTATATGTAGTTAGGTGGGGGTGTTGTTCTAGGACACTAGTGACCAGCCCATGTAGATTTAGGGAAATATAAATCCTTAGAGATTAAGAATTTAGGAACATGTAAGATTAACCAGGTCGGTTTTTATGGCGACCTGTACATAGTAGTTGTGGTTGATGGGCATTCTGGTGCTGTCTGCATTAGTAGTTCTAGCAACTGTGTGATGATAGCAGAAGCGTGACATTATCTACCATGCGGCTCAGTGGTTTAGTGGGATAATTCATCTTTCGGGAGAAATCTCTGATTTCAAAAGAAATTACCTAATTTAGATGAGGTCCCGGGTTCGATTCCCGGCTGAGCCCCATTTTTTATTTATTGGATTCGTTAGTAAGCAAGTAGTATAAGGCTGGTATTTATTTACAATATTAGGCCAGTGTTTTCGTTAAAGGAATAGCAGCGGGTTAGAATTAAAGTACCTGCCAACCACGGACTTCGAGTGCCACAAATTCAGGGGAAAATTTGTTCTCGTTGGCCATCTGTAGATAGCGATGAGCTTTCTTGTCATTCCTCCTTGAATGTTGTTAAAATATGCGCATACCACAAAACGCCCAAGAATTTATCAAAAGAAACAAGTCAGCCTGCCAAGTCCAGGAATTGGCCATATTGAAACTAAAATAGCTGCCCTCGCGAAAAAATGGTAATCGTGGGACAGAGTGTGTGAGTGATTTTGTGACTGTCTCGGTACTGGAGATCGGTTTATTGGCAGAGGGCTTATCCTTGCTTGTCTCCAGAAATAGGCGCCAAGTGGGCAATGCCTTAGACCCACGAGGTGGACATTCATGTGTGTTTCTCTCAACCTATATGAGTTTAATTGAGTTTGACGGCGGTGCCAAAGTATTCCAGACTACTTAAAAGTACGGTTGCCAGAGGGTAGCCAAAGACATTCCTGGAACCCAAATAGGAAGTCAGTGATGTCCATTCTTTGTACAGGGAATTTAACGTTGGTCCTACATATGAAGATGAATTTCCGGCTTTAGATGTTTTGGATCTGGACTACACATTTATTCACTGGTCATCGTATTGCTCGTTTTTTTATAATGCGCACGTTGTGGACGTTATCGGCACTGGCTCTGTCAGCCGAAGCCATCAAAACAACTGGATGTCCTCTTTTGGGACCATCTTTCCCTGCCCCTACCGCTCTGTCAAAGAACCCCAGCTTTCTCAGCAAAGCTGAGGAGCTGACCTCAAAGCTCAACGGAGCCATTGGAGATGGAAGTCTACCTTCCATCTCTTTCGCAGTGCAGGTCTTCAGCAGCGAGGAGGACGATTCTGCCTTCGGTTTCTACCACACAGATGATCCAATTAAAGTTGGATCAGTGGGGGTCCAAGATGTGAACGAGGATACTATGTTCCGCATTGGCAGCATATCAAAGCTGTGGACCATGTTTCTTCTCATGACCTTGGGAGGAACACGGTACTTCCACGAGCCAGTTTCGAAATACGTGCCTGAGCTGCAAACAAAGTATAGTTCGGCACAAACAAAAGACAAAATTAATTATTTGCAATGGAGCGATGTGACGATTGGTGAACTGGCTAGTCACCAAGCAGGCCTTGCAAGAGACTGTATGATGATAATACCCCGATGGCCCAAGTGTGCAATATGAAAAACAAACTGACCCTGGATTCTAGATGCATTTGGAGACCTCGGATTCCAGTCAGACCTTCTTCAAACCCTGGGGTTCCCTTCGCTTCCAGACAATGAGAAACTGACTTGTGGGAGCAAGGATACATGCGATAGAGAAGGTAAGTTGGGCAATTGTGTTTGCTTACATTATCGCTCGAATTTGTAGGCTGACAGAGGGAATGTTCTCAAGAATTCTTTCGTGGCATTCTGAAAACGCGTGAGTAGGGTGACCCCGCTGAATCTGGATTTACCCCCTAACATGGTCTATTAGGTCCGTTGACGTCGACCTCACAGACACCGATATACTCGAACGCAGGATATCAAATTCTAGGATATGTATTGGAGTCAATCGCAAAAGCCGACTACGAAGCCATATTAATGGACCGCCTTATCAAACCACTCAACTTGACTCGATCTTGTCTTCACGTTCCAAATCCCAGCTTGGCGGTGATCCCCCACAATGAGACTTCCAGTTGGTTTGATTATGAGTTTGGCGAGGAATCTCCGTGAGTGCTAATGAGTCCTTTGATGTACACATAGCTTACACATTGCTAGTGCTGGAAACATCTTCTCTTCAGCAAAGGATATGGCCACGTTCGGCCGTGCCGTTCTTTCCAGCGCCCTTATTGACTCTGCCGAGACAAGAAGGTGGCTGAAGCCGGTAGTACACACGTCCTCCCTGAAACATTCCGTGGGCGCCCCCTGGGAGATTTATACCTTTTTGACACCTCGTCGGGTCGACCTATACACCAAGGCTGGGGATATCGGATTGTACTCTAGCTCTATCGCCCTTTCACTAGATTATAATGTCGGTTTCACGGTTCTAGTCGCCGGTGGTAATTCACACGCGATGACATCGACAATCGGGGAGATGGTTGCCGATATTATGCTTCCCACGCTTGAGGAAGTAGCTAAAAACCAAGCTATTGAACGCTTTGGGGGCACATATGCCTTGATAGGCGGCTCCTCCAATTCCTCCATCACCATCACGGGCGATGACGGGGCTGGCTTGGTAGTCTCAGCATGGACGAGCAACTCGGTCGACATGATCGCGTCTTTGATGACTTTGCAAGGAGTGACAGATGGCTCTGCGATAAGCATTCGTCTACAGCCTAGTGGTCTTGAGACTCCGGGGCGGATCTCCTTCTTGGCTGTTATTTATAGCCTTGATGTCTCGGAAGATGCTGGGCCCCTTATTGGCTCCTGCTTCTCCTGGATGATGCTCGATTCCATGGTGTATGGCAACGTTGGGCTCCCAGAGTTTGAGTTTGCACTTGACCATGATGGGGATGCGACGAGCTTATCCCTTCGGGCATTGCGTGTTACTCTTCCTAAAGTTTAACGGCCCAGCAAGCTCTCGTTACACATGTGGACGAAATGAATCAATCTCTATTTGGAGATATCAAATTCTCGCGGCTCCTGTATAGTCCCTGCTGCCGTGGCCTGACCCCTGCTGTCTGCTGATTCCCATGATACTGCCGCAACCGTCGCGTCCTCCGAGGGAACTTTGAAACCCAATACTGTCTTAGTCGTGTATAATATTTATCACATGTGCTAACTTTCAATTAGCCTCCCCGCAGAAGAGAAAATGCTTATGGTTAGCTATACCATTTCATACTAAACTACCTAAGAGAGTGATCTCAATAGATATGAATAGCTACTAGCCTCTGAATTCCAATATAAGAACGCAATAAATAAACAATCGTTTACCGTAACCTTTGCCGTGATTAGCCCTATTCACAGAACCTAAAGATGTTGAATCAAAGGGATTGAATATAGCTATGCCTTGGCCTCAATTCTAGTTCACAAGCTCCCACTCCTCACCGGCATATTGAACTTTGTAAGCCAGAGCTGGGTCACCGAGCTGGTTGGGCGTATAACTCCAATCAACTCCGAAGTCTCCATTATAAAAGCTACCGAAAGCGAACCGGAAGGAAGCTGCAGCGGCCGACACAGTATGACCGGTGACACCGATGGTTTGAGTTCCACCCGGGGTCAGTGCAACCAATTGGACATCGTCCTTTCTTTCGAGAACTCGACGATCATTTACCGGTGCGGGTGAAGGCTTGACTGAGTCGTCTCGATTGATTTGAAACTTGGTTGCCTTTCTGGGATCAAGAGAAATTGGTCCATGGTCTTGATCTTGAATGAACCAGTACAAGTGGGGTGTGGACTTGGTGCGAATGTAATAAGCACCACCGGACACATATTCCACGTTGGATGTTGCGTCGTTAGGAATGATTGGCATGGCGCCAGTGGCATGGTTGTTGTCGTATCCACTGATTCGAGCAGCCATGATAGTTGGAACGAGGTCCTTGGCATTTGACTCAATGAAATAGAAAGGGCGAGATTCTGCTGCAGCGTTGGTGAAGGTCCAGAACTGAGGACTATATCTCACGATATCGTCCAGCGGATTGACAGTCCCAGGAGCTGTGGTCGTGATGCACCGGTTGTAGAACTCATCCGCATAGTGTCTGCTTGGGAAGACGAGAATCTCGCGACCATTGTATTGGTCTCCAGTCCAATTCAGGTAAACCTGATACACCATCTGGAAATGAAAGACATTAAGTATGTGCCGTTTTCTGGAAAAGGATGCTATTTACCTTACAGTTCAGAGTATATCAATGAATTTGGATGATATTGTTGCTTTCTGATACTTTGAGGAAAAGAATGGTGATTGACTGAAGCAATGTATTGGAATGTATGGGAAATAGCAGCTGCTTTATAGATGATTTCTTCTTCAGACATCTAAGGTAATTTTGGGCAGCTATGAATGAGGCCCTTAGTTTTGCGCTCTGAATACGATTCGTCCAAGATGCATCGTCAGCTATCTATGCATACGGAGTACTCCGTACTTCATTAGTGATAATTATAATGTATAGTTCATGATGCATGATGCATGATCCATGAAGGCTGGCTGAATGACCTGAAAGCGCGGGCGTATCCATCTAGCTCTTTTAGGTTAATCAACAGCGGCTTTCTGCATGATGCTACCTGTCCTTGCCAGCTAAGCATTTCCCATACTATGATAACCCTGCGATGCGCCTGTTTGACTTTATGGAAGCGCAGACATGGTGATCTCAAAGGGCTTAATATGTACTGAATGTGGACGTGGTTAATCTCCAAAGAATATAATAGGTGTGAACAGAACTTAAGACCCACCGGGGTGTGCTTGGCATGGGATGGGGTTACAACGGAGTGGAGCTGATTGGAGTTAATTCTTAATGACAACAATATACGATTGGTGTACTCGCTTTGGGTGTGTTTGATTAGGCGGGGGGTTATTCAAGGGCCTCTTGGAGCATATATCCCTGTTGCGGTGAGATGCTCCGGTATGGTCAAGCTGAAATGTGGGGGATATATGCGAGTTTGCCTGAAAGTCATGGGGTTATGCAGGAATTTTGAACTAGTCAACTAATACTCAGAGATAGGCCTCTGTGTAGCATGTAAGTAAGGAGTACTCTGCAATTACCGTGAGATACGTAAGTGTATTGGATAAAATTGTATAATGTCATTTTAATAAATATGTCTCACAAGAGGAAAAGCACCCACTTCTACGATTAGCAACGTGTCTTGTTCTGCTGTAGATATTGTTGACGTACGCTTGGAGTCAGTGGACAGAAAGCCTCCATTCGGTCATATTGGATGCTGAACGCATCAGGCTCGCTCAACTTGGTACTAAAATGTCCCCAAACTCGCGATCGTGCCACTCATTAGCGACACGAGGGGACAAAGTTGGCCATTGCCAAAATGAAGCGGAGAGTGCCATTTGAGGATTTGGATGGTATTTGAGAAAAGGAGTTGAGAAGCTTGAAGAGAAGCGAGTAAGGACATGGACGGAAATATTTTTGCTAAGGCCGCTCCCTCCTCAAGAGGTTGATACCGTCGAGGAGGTCACGACCGGACCAATCAGCGTTGACATAAAAAACATAAAACATAGAGCATACAAGATATCAAGACAGAAGTACAGATATGTACATACTCTAATCATAATATTTAGCTACCACGCCTCCAATAATAGGTTGCTCTCCGACTTCACTCCGAGCCACACCTTTGTTAACTCCCTTGGCGACTCGCGCCTTCACCCACTCACCAGCAGTGATACCAACCGCACTATTATCGGTTGTCTGATCATATCCTAGACGATGCAGCACTTCACTCACAACCGGCCGCAGCTCGAGGCTATCCTCCGGTCGAACAAAGTACAAAACACCCAGACGGTCTACGTTCCTCTGATCCGGCGGCGGTGCAACCACACGGTGAATGCTGCTTTTGAGGAAACCGTTGGTGAGGAAATGGAGCGAGTCCGCAAGATTAACCGTGATGCTCCCGGGATACGGCTTGACCCACTTCCACTCGCCCTCCGGCGTGCGAACCTGTAGTGCAGCGACGGGTTGGCGAAACAGCAAGGTCAAGCTGCCAAAGTCGGTATGGCCCTTGGACCAAATCCCGGCGGCCTTCTCATTTTCTTCGGCTGTACGTTGATGGTACTTCATGTACCGCAGGTGGCAGTCGCTCTTCTCATCGTAGCGATGCACCTGCAGGAAATAGTCCTCTGGTAGCTCGAGGATGATGGCGAAGAGCGTGAGAAGTTTGGCCACAATTTGGTCATGAATATGGCGGGCGAACCCCTCGATGATGGGACGATTGTGGTTTACAATTTCCGGTTGGGGAAGCTCGAGGGCTGGAATGAATTTGGGGATGTTGTAGATTTCCGTATTGTCATAGACACCTGGACTGATTTCCTAAGGTAATATATTAGAGATGGTCGTTTTCGCCCAATGTGATTGATTTTCAACTTACCCGCAGACCCATTGGCTTGTAGCCATTGTAACCGCCTTTTTCAAGCTCTGCACGGAACTTTAGTTTCTCCTCTAATGGGAGCTTAAATATCTCCTTGCCAATAGAGAATTGTTGATCAACATCTTCCTGTGAGAGACCGAAGTTGGTAATATAAAAAAAGCCTGGAGCCAAGTAAGTATTACAAGCGCGGAAAGTAGAACGACTGAACCATAAACTACTGACCTATATTCTGGATAGCATCGAAGAGCTGCTTGGCTAACTGGTCTTTACCACCGGGCTGGTCAAATAAAGACAGATCCAAGGTGGCGAGGTCCGCCCAGTCCACTATATACAAATCGTACATTAGCTATAATGTTTCAAGTATAAGGCTTGCCAAAGTCCACAAATATACAATAGAGCATGAATAGAGGATTCGAAAAACGTACGATCGAAAGAAGTCTCTGGAACCTGACTGTACGTCGGGATGTCAGATCCTGTAGGAACTGGGGCTGGAGGTTGAGCCAAGGTTGTCATAGTTTATGCAAGATATTTGAAGAAAATATGCAAAATGAATACAATCACAGTAACTTGCAGTAAAACGGGTTTATTATGGACACAATCGCGTGAATTGGATTGCACTCTACCGAAGAAATGGGGGGTTTATCAAGATCGCAATATCCTTGGCTTCGCAGCAGACTCGGGACTGACTTTTGATCTTATTGTTGATCTATTCCAATCGGGCAATTTCAAGGTCTATTTACCAACAACCCGCAAGGTTGATATATAAAAGTGAAATTATGAGTGCGAATGTAGGTGGATCCCCACTTAACCCCACGTGGGTTTTTAGATCTCATCATGATATCCTCCGTTTGCGTGATCAGGAGTTATGTCGTGGATTACGACTTCACTCCCTTCGGATTATTCTAAGGTATGAGATTGGAAGATATTGCAAAATGACTAATGATTTCTCCAGGAAATCTGCTTAATTAGAATATATTAACTACATGACTCGACTAAATCCCCCCTAGGAGAGAATTATTGACAAAAATAACGGATTGTTCACGAAATATTCGAATAGACTGTTTTCCTCTAATTTTTAATCCAATTGAATACATGTTGTACCTACAGACTCGATAATAGTATGTCAATGATAGTATGGCCTAGACCATAGCAATTGCAATACTTGTGGACTATGATACAATATTTGTTATGCTAGCTTTGGAGCTTGGTCTAAGCTTCGATAATGTTTTTCGGAGGGTTTCCGAACTGATAAAGGAGAGACATTGATATCTAGCAATGGCTGCTCGCGTTTAACCGTCTTGTCCACAGTGATCTTTTAGCACTGTACTGTCGAAACCAATCTTGCGACAATGGCAGACGAAGAACACGGGCGCACTTCATCCAAAGACTTGGGTAAAACCACAGCCACTGATGTTAGTTCCACTAGTGAGAGTAACGCCGACCATGACCTCCATTTCGCTAGACGTGGTGAAGTTCTGGCCGAAACCTCATCAAGCCAGGAAAGCATCGATGGCTACGATCCAGAGCTTATGAGTGGTAGGACGCTACTCACGGCAGAAGAAGAGAAAAAGTTACTACGCAAGATTGACTGGCGGTTGATGGCTCTTTGTTCACTCATATTTATGTTCAAGAATCTGGACAGCCACAATGTGCGTACACAGCCATATGATACCCAGGTGTTACAAGATAACTTACTGCCTTGCAGGCATCCAATGCGCGAATTATGAACAAGGGAACGGATCAGAACATCATGACACAGCTCGGAATGACCTCCAATGAGTACAATCTCGTCAACGTCCTTTACTATGTAATATTTTGACCAAGTCCTAATCCAGATGTCATCACGTGTGGCTAATCGTGGACGTCCCAGGTCCCATACATTGTGTTAGAAGCACCCTCAAATTTACTACTCAAGAGATGCTCTCCTTCAAAGTGGCAGTCAAGGATCATGATCAGCTGGGGTATCGCTCTCATGTGCAATGCTGCCGTGAAGAACAAGGGCGGTCTATATGCGACCCGGTTCTTGTTGGGTGTAGTATGTTACAGCGTCAATTTCTCATGATTTCAAGATAAAATACACTAACACTGCAATAGGCTGAGGCTGGACAGTTCCCCGGTGTCATTCTCCAGATGACTTACTGGTATCGCCCGGACGAGATGTCTTTGCGACTGCTCTACTTCTGTAAGCTTCACTCAAATCATGCGCAGGAAGAAACTTTGCTTATCGTGACATAAAGATATTTGTGGAAACGTGTCGGGTATCTTCGGCGGTCTTCTTGCCTATGCATTTGACACTGTATCTGGTGCAGCAGGGCTTTCTGGATGGCAATGGTAGCCCGCTCTTATATCCGCACCCCTTTGTGAATCATTGCTAAAGCCTTTCCAGGTTGTTCCTCACAGAAGGTATAGCGACCGTCCTTTTTGGAGTTGTGATTTGGTTCCTGCTCCCAGACTGTAAGGTTCTTTGTTCTCTCTCGTAATATCAGTGGCTAACATGAGAAAATATGATATAGTTCCCGAGACAGCCAAATGGTTGAGTGAAAGGGAAAAGAAGTTTATTCAGGCTCGACTACCATCTAATGCCCCTCGTGCAAGCGAGCAGAACTTCAAGCTACGTGAAGTCATCGAGTCACTAAAAGATCGGAGGCTTTGGCTGTTTACGGCTATTTGGGCTACTTTTACTGTCGGAACCAATGGCGTTACTTTCTATCAATCGACAGTCATTGCCAACCTCGGTTACACGTAAGTTGTATACCCCTCCCCGTCTAGTTGGAAAGATCACTATCACTTCAACGAGCATTGCTGACAGACTATCAGGAGTATTGCTCAAGCCCAACTCCTCAATATCCCTATCACAGTCTGCGGTCTCCTGTTCATTGCGGTTACAGGAATTACAGCAGACCGCAGCCGGATACCCCGGCCATTGTACCCGCTTACCTTTCTTTTCATCATCTTAGTCTGTTACGGCGTTTTTGTTGCCCATCCAAGTAATGGTGCAATTTACGCTGTAACGCTAATTGGAAATGCCTTGACTGCAGGATGGTATCCTGTCATGTGGTAAGTTAACAATATCCTAGCCCCTTCTAGACGTTCAAGTATAGCTTACAACGTGATAGGCCATGGCGCGTACAAACCACCTCCCGGGCTACGGGATCTGCCTTCTCTATCGGATTCGTCAACAGCTATGGCCAGATTGGTGGTGCCATCGGACCGCAGTTGTTCCAAAGCAAGTATGCACCAAACTACACAGTGCCCTTCTCTGTGGCCATGGGTCTTGTGGGTACTTGCGCGATCTTGACGGTGATAACATGGTGGGTAACTCAGGACACAGAGCGTGATACAAGGCGGTTGAAGCTAGCCAAAATCGCAGCAGAAAAAAGAGGCGAGACTATCTTGGAGGATGTTGTCGACAATGACCTGAAGAATCGCTAAAAGGGAAATCCATGGGGATGTCTAGATATATTGCGGACGCCCTGTATACAAGTTTCAGTTCATATCAATCAATCAATCAATCAAAGTTCAATTAACCTGTTGCAGTCTAACTAGTTGCGTATGACTATGCAGGCGCTTCATCCAACCGAAGCAAGAACTCGAAGCCAAACGCCGAGCGGGATCTCTCCCAGAGTATACAGATGCTGATTGTAAAGAGTGCGGAATCAGCCCATTCCTGTAGTATCCCATAAATCCAAACCCATCCATCCCATACATAGGAAATCGTCACATAATGATTGTTGTGGGGTGCACCCCCCACCTTCTATTTCTTACTTCTCTCTCACTTCCATCTCTCACTTCTCTCACTTCTCTCTCTCTGTAGCCCCCCCTCGCCTCGGTTTCAATTGATGGTGATAGTATCCTGGCCAGTTGATTGGCATATTGGTCGACTCTGGCTGAGTTTCTCGCTTCACAGCATCATCTATCGTCATTGGCTAATACCCATCGTCTTCCACACCTAGATCCATTGCCGCAAGGCCTGTCGGTTCGTCGTCGTCCTCGGGTGTCGCATACTGGAACTGCTGGAGGAGACCTGTTCGGTGCATAAAGTTGACCACGTCGCGGGTGGCCTGCGGGTTCGACACGATCTTGTCGTAGTCCATCTCGTTGATCCCAATATTCCACAATTGCTCCCACAACTTCGTGCGCGGAATAATATACCATGGACACTGCATCAAGATATGTCTCGGTGTTTGTGAGCCCTCATCACAATTGCATCGGTCAGTCTCGGCTGCCTTGATCTTGAACAAGAAGTGTCGAAGGCCGATCCGCATTGTACGCATCTGGATCAAAATTGCACATTGTGGTTTCGACAGTCCTTCGTACAACCGGAGTGTCTTCTTGTTCGGCGTCTGCACCAAGCGCGTCGTGGGTGCGGAGGTCGTCTCTCGCTCCCACTGCTTCTCCCACCGCTCTCTGGTTCGTTGGCGTACCGCTCTCTTAGCAGCTGCGGTTTCAGTTCATAGACCAAAGCCCAAATCCATACCCTTCACAAAAAGTCTGCAGCGAATCAAATCCATAACGCAAAGTTCTTCATAAAAAAACAACATTATATGAAAATGATGTTATTTACCCCAATGTTCAATTACTCCGCACCACGCGCTTCCAAAAAAGGTCCGAGAGTCGAATCAAAATTGGCCGATCGAGCCGCCGCTAATAAAAACCCTCCGACTCCATACATACCCCTCATAATTTGTGGGAACTTCTTCGTGTGCTATTTTAGATTCGACATTATTTCTTATTCGCAGAACGGTTTCTGACACAGCACAGTTGTTCCTCGGCTCATCTAGCTTGCACAATGGACATTGCTGACGCCCAGCCACCCGCAAGGGCTTCCAGCGACCCCTACTTTGATTTAGGGACATTCGGTCGCAAAGTCAGCACCAATTCCCAGGAAGCCCAGGTCTGGTTTAACAGGGCACTTGTCTGGACATATTGCTTTAATCATGATGAGGCAATCACTTGCTACAAGCAAGCAATTGCGCATGACGAGAACTGCGCCATGGCCTATTGGGGAATATCCTTTTGCTCAGGCTCCAATTACAACAAGACATGGGCGCTGTTCGATCAAAGAGATCGACTCAATGCGATCAAGCAGTGTTTTATATTTTCCCAAGAAGCGTTGAGGCGGACAAGCAATGCATCAGATTGGGAGCAGGCGCTCATCAAGGCTCTTGCAGAACGTTACCCCAACGATGATCCAAGTAGGGACCTTGCCGGATGTAGCCGAGCGTACGCCGATGCTATGAGAGAGGTATATAATAATTTCGGTCGCGAAGATTTTGACATTATCACACTCTTCGCCGATGCATTGATGAATTGTGCTCCACGAAAGTTATACGATGCCTCCACGGGGCTCCCGATAGCATCGTCCCCAGTTTTCGAAGTGAAAGATCTGCTTGATCGCACTCTGAAGATGCCAAAAGTCGAACTCCATCCTGGTCCCGCGCACATGTATATCCACTTGATGGAAATGTCGGCGACCCCCGAGGCTGCGCTGCCGGCAGCAGAGATGATCCGGGACATCTTCCCTGATACAGGCCACACTTTCCACATGCCTGCTCATATTGATGTTCTTGTGGGTGATTATCGTCGAGCAGTGGAATACAATCTGAAAGCGACCCTCGCAGATGACAGATACTTTGAACAGAATGGCGGCTTGACATTCTACAGTTACTATCGTCTACACGACTATCACTCTCTCATCTACGCTGCGATGCTTGGTGGGAAATCTAAGGCGGCTTTTTCAGCGACGGATCGAATGGAGGCGACTATCACGGAAGAAATCCTCCGGGTCGAAACGCCTGCACTTGCAAACTGGATGGAATTTTTCAAGGCCGTCAGAGTCCATGTGCTCATTCGCTTTGGGATGTGGGAAGAACTCAAGAAGCTCGAACCACTCGAAGATAAAGATCTCTATTGTGTCACGAATGTTATGAGGCATTATGGAAAGGCCATCGCCTATGCAGCCACGTCTCAGCTCGAGGAAGCCGACAAAGAACGAGAACTTTTCAAAGCCACTTCTAGGCTTGTTCCTCCCACACGGCTTGATTTCCCCAACAAAATCACCGACATTCTCAAAGTTGCATCTGCTATGTTGGATGGCGAAATTGGGTATAGAAAGGGCGATTATGACGAAGCATTTTCCAAATTACGGGAAGCAATTACTCTGGAAGACGAGCTACCTTTCGCAGAGCCATGGGGGTGGATGCTTCCAGCTCGGCATCCATATGCAGCCCTCTCATTGGAACAGGGCAGAGTTGAACAGGCTGCACAGGCCTATGCTGAAGATTTGGGGTTGACTCCAACACCCAAACGTGCCCATCAACACCCGAATAACGTTTGGGCTTTGCATGGCTACCACGAGTGCCTTGACCTTTTAGGTCGCCATGCGGAGGCAAACATTATCAACAAACAACTTTCTCTTGCTCTTGTGGAGGCAGACGTTGAAATCACATCTTCATGCTTTTGCCGGCTTGGAAAATTGCCTTCTTGTGGAAAGCCTGAAGTGAATGGTTGCCACAGTGTGGGTGCAATGTGTAAAGGTTAGATGAACACTTTGATTAAATTAATACTGTTTTGTTGGCTTCTCGTTCAAGCCACGTAGAAAGACATAAGAGATAGCTCGGGCCACTAAAAGAAACAACGAATGTAATGTCGGTCCTTCATGATCTTCAGGACCACACTTAGAAGAATATGTTATAAACACGGGGTATCACACAACGGCCTCTGCAACTTGCTTGATCATCCCGCGAACCTCATCAACAATACGGAAGCAAGGGACCAACTTCCGCGCTACTGGATCATGCGGGCAGAGATCGAGCGGGTCGTGATTAACAGCATCCTCCTTGCTCCGACACCGACCTTCCGAATTGGGACAAGTTTCATGGCCGACCATATGGCGATTGCGTTGTCGTTGCGCAAACTGCTTGCCTAGCACCAAAAGCCGTTCGGCATCTGTCTGGAGGCCGTGCACGACGAGATCTCTGAGTTTCTCGCCGCCGATCTGTAAATTCAGTTCTGACGGGACTCCAAGCCCGGAGTCAAGATAGACGGTTCTAGTCTCATTCCTGGCATCGAGCTCAGTGCAGTGTTTATCCAGCCAGCGTATGTACTTTTGGTAGCCGGCTGTTACTTCGAACATGAGCTGGCCGATGAGTAGCACATTTTGAACCGTTACTCGGGGCGGCTTGGACACGTCATAGCACATAGGACAGATCAGTAGTCTCTCTGTGAGAGACACGCCTGTTCGAAGCATCGGGACGATATCGTGTGACATATTCGCGCGGCTCAGGTTCCGAACTAGATCGGAGACTTCTTCGTCACATTTACAAGACTGTGAGAACGACATCGGAGAGATATATGCATCTAAGGCTATTGGAGGTATCTCGGGGTCGTGTAATGTGTTCTGACGGGATGCCTGCAATAACCCAAGGGGAAAGGAACTGATATCGCCGTTCCCGAGCATCTCCCAGTGGGAGGAATCGAATCCGCAGTTCCCAGATAGCTCGTATGGTAATGAGTCGAATTCACCGGGTGCCATTAGCATATTTCCGGCTTCATGAGGGCCAAAAGGCGATTGAGAAACGACAGGCGAGAAATGCGAGGAGCTTGACGATCCTATTTGCTCCTCTCCGTCCGGCAAATCATGGTCTGGTTCTTCTTGTCGTGCACGCTTTCTCGGCCTTCCAGGTGCCCCTTTGTCTTTGAATTTACAAGTCAACGTTAATCCCCGGCAGCGAGAGCAACCGCTCTTTTCGCCTGAGCACCTGAGCTTCCGTGCTCCTATTGATTATTAGCTACACATTCAAGGGACTGGAGGACGGCTCGGCTTACGACATGCTTCACAGGAATTTCGCTGTCGAGTGGGGTTCATATTCTGTTGAATGTGTCAGTTTGATCTAACAAGCAAGACAAGGCCCGAGGTCGGGGAGATGATGTCCACCAGGTGGAATCGCACGATTGGTCATCCTGCGCTGAGATGGCGTCAACCGAGCTTCGAGCGGGGTACAGCAGCGTCTTCAGCAACAGATTCCATCCATCATTCAAAATCAGGAGTTATGATGAAATGCATCAGTAGAAAATAATAAAAGCGTAAGGATTGCATGTGCTTCAAAATATCAATGTTTGGAGTTGTCGTGGGCTGCGGCCCTTGCGGGTTTCTCCAAAATCCTCCGAGAAAAAACAGCCGAGATATCGTGCAAGATCGCTCTGCCGTTATTTCGATTGGTTCTTTCCTTCGCCATTTAAGATAATCAGAGAATTATTCATTCTTTGATCCGAACAGCAAAATGGCGAAATCTATAACCGCACGTGAGTTGCGCCAGCATTGGATAAATCAACGTGAAATTGCCCTCCTCGATGTCCGCGAAGAAGGCCCCTATTCCGAGTCCCATCCTCTATTCGCACTAAGTGTGCCAGTCTCAGAGATCGAGAAGAAGTTGCCTCCGTTAGTGCCTCGATTATCGGCCCCGATTGTGGTCTACGACGACGGCGAAGGCTATGCAGATCGGGCTACCACCCGGATATTAGCCCTGGGGTATCGGGACGTGTCCGTCTTGAAAGGCGGGCTTTCTGGTTACGCCACCGTTGGCGAGGTATATCGCGATGTCAATGTACCATCCAAGGCGTTTGGCGAGCTCGTCGAATCAATTAACCACACCCCATCCTTATCTGCGCGAGATGTAAAGGATGTTCTGGAGAGCGAAGCCGATGTGGTTGTTTTGGATGCCAGACGTTTTGTGGAGTATAATACCATGAGTATTCCCCATGGCCGCAGCTGTCCTGGTGGAGAACTTTTGTATCGCTTTTTTGAGGCTGTGCCCTCTCCGGAAACCAAAGTCATCGTCAACTGTGCAGGTCGAACGCGGAGTATTGTTGGAACCCAATCTTTGATCAACTCTGGGATCCCGAATAAAGTGGTCGCGCTCCGAAATGGGACGATCGGGTGGACATTAGAGGGCTTGGAACTGGAGACCAAAAAGACGGAACGGGTTCCAAGTCCTTCAGTGGGCGCATCACAAAAGGCACGGCAATACGCTGAATCATGGGCGAATCACGTCGGCGTCAATTTTATTGATGGTGACCAGCTCACTCGATTTACCGCGGAGTTGGAAGATCGGACTCTCTACCTCCTAGACGTGAGAGACCCGGAGGAATACGCCCTTGGACACCCGACCTGTTTCTTTAATGCTCCTGGTGGTCAATTAGTACAAGCGACCGACGAATGGGTCGGTGTTCGAGGAGCTCGCATTGTTCTATATGACACGGACGGTGTGCGTGCGCGTATGACAGCCAGCTGGCTCGTCCAGCTCGGATGGGAGGCGTATGTAGTTGAACAATCTCAAGTACCTGATGGACTTCCGTCGCACAAAGCCCCTTCATGGAATTATCCAAAAGATGGCGCTATCACAGTCAATGACCTTCAAAACCTCGCAGGCGCGACTGTCGTCGATCTCGCCCGCAGTCCATCCTACCGCAAGGGCCACATTCCGGGCGCATTGTTTGCTTCCGGACCCGAACTTACCCGAGATTTGAGATCTATCAACGGTAACGGTCCTATCGTACTGACCTCGGAGGATGGAGACGTTGCCGCCATGAATATTGATGACGCACGCAAGTCAGTCTCTCGAGACGTTTTGTATTTGGCGGGAGGGACAAGTGCCTGGGTAGCTGCCGGCCATCCCCTCGAAACGGAATCGCAGTGGCTTTCGCAGCCGATCGATGTGTATAAAAGGCCGTATGAAGGGACAAGCAACGCTCGCAAGGATATGCAAGGGTATCTCGACTGGGAGTATGGGCTTGTCGCACAACTGGCGAACGATGGGGTCGCATGTTTCCACGTTGTGCGGGACACACGTGGGGAAGTTGGGAAGCAGTCTTGATCAGAGATGGCCGGTGAATGGGATGTATCTACTCCCCTTCGAGCTCCATCTACAGTTGTTTCACACGTGCCTCTAGCCTCTTGACCTGGTCGCTTGATCTATTGTTGATACCAGTGTCCATTGAATGATTCTCAGGGTTCAAGTACCCACATGAGCCCCGGGAATAGGAGATATAGATCAGTAACATTGAATTGTCTGTCTCTGTTTTGCATCGTGCTGTGGAAATCCGCTCAAAGAATCCAATAGGCCTGTGATCTATTGTTTCGTGTTGGATGCCAGTCGCCTATCAAGTACATAGGAGTCATAAAGTATTTACCCACCACCCTACTTTTAAATCACTCTAATAACTACCTAGGTTTTTTTCTTCTTCTTCCTATATACCCCCTATGCCTCCATCAGGTATAGGAAATAGCTCGTTGCTTAGAGTAACAGGTAAGCTATTAGCTAAGTAGCGCTTAGCTATTATCTATTCCTATAAAGCCCGGGTTTTAATAGTTAACGCTAGCCGTTAATTTTAGGTATAGCCGTAAAACGATATTTAATATAATTTAACGCTTTGGATAATATAATACTATCGAATCATTCTCGACGTGGTCGCCTAAGGGAATTTAGTAATTGAACTCGCCATTATATCTTTGTCTAGGCTAGTACCTATTCTATATATATAATAGCTAAGTATAGTCATACCTAGTAACCCTTCCTAATCGTTAATTATTAAGTTTTAATAAGCTTCTGCCTATTTAAACGCTACATACAGTATAGAATCCTAATCGGAAGAGACTTAGCTTATTTTACTTCGGTCGGCAAATAACGGAGATTTAAATTTACTATGCCATAGTATTATTGGTGATGGGGCTCGGTGGAGATTCTGGCCATTCATCCTGTCATCCTTAATTGTAGACTGTGGACTGTAGTTAAAACCCGCTCCACAGTAAATTGGGGTCAGAGACCCACCCGTATTCTTATCCCAGTGAGAGAGACACTCAATTACGAACACAGCATTATACGAGGCATTATAAAGTTAGAGAGGCAGCTCATATTCTTTGGGTATACGGCCTTCTCATCTTCAATATAGTCATCAATTGTTGAAAGGTGGCGCCATGTTAATACCCAATCTTCTGTTCACCTTACTTGCAGTAGCCAATGTGGCCTGCAGTTTGGTCCCACACTCCCAGACGCGCCATAATCCTGCCATACCGGGATGGCACAGCGACCCGAGTTGTGTCTTTGTCTCAGAGAGAGACAATACCACATTCTGCGCCTCTTCGACATTCCTCCTGACTCCCGGGATTCCCATATATGCCAGCAAAGATCTGACGACTTGGAAACTGGCCAGCCATGCCCTTTCCCGAGAAAGCCAATACCCGGAGTTCAACCTATCCATTGCCCAGACCGATGGCATCTGGGCACCGACACTTAGATATCATCACGGGGTATTTTATGTCATTGTCATCTACAAGAACAACATCGCTGGAAAGAGCACCGGATTGATCTTCAACACAACAGACCCTTTCAGCGACGATGCTTGGACAGTTCCCATTCAGTATAACGCTGAGTTCATTGATCCCGATCTTTTCTGGGATGACGATGGCGCAGCTTACGTTGCAAGTTCTGGGATCAACCTTCAGACGGTGGACGTCACGACTGGTGCCATGGGGGAGCCAAGCCAGATCTGGAATGGCAGTACCGGTAACTTCCTCGAAGGGCCTCATATCTACAAAAAGGATGGTTACTACTATCTTCTGGTAGCTGAGGGCGGCTCCGGACTCAATCACTCGGTTACTATCGCACGGTCTAAGGATATCTGGGGTCCGTATCAGGGCTATGAGAACAACCCTGTCTTGACAAATAGAGACACCTCGGAGTACTTCCAGAACATTGGGCATGCGGATCTGTTTCACGACATGAACGGCAATTGGTGGTCCTGCAGTTTGACCTGGCGCTCTGGACCAGAGGGAAAGACATACCCGATGGGCCGAGAAATGGCGCTGACACCTGTGACCTGGAAGCAAGGAGATTGGCCGTCCTTCGCTCCGGTACGTGGCATTCAAGAGGGATGGTATCTGCCGCCTTCAAACAATATTCCCAGCGATGGACCTTTCGCCAATGATCCGGACATCATTGATTTTGAGCCCAACTCCACCATTCCTCGCAATTTCGGTTTCTGGCGATGGCCTAATAAAGACTCATATACCATCTCGCCAGTGGGCCATCCTAGAACACTGATGCTGACGCCGTCAACTGCAAGCATTACGTCTGGATACAAGAACTATACGGCTGGGTACGACGGTAAAGAGTTCACCCTCATTATGCGCCGACAGACCGATACACTGTTCCAATACAGTGTTGACATATCCTTTGCGCCAAAATCCCAGGATGAGGAAGCTGGGGTAACAGTGTTTCTAAACCAAGTCCAAAACATCAACCTTGGTATCACAATGCTGCCAGCAAATGCCACCAACGGTACGGGTTCGTCGCTGGCACCTCATTTCCGCTTTCTTGTTTCTGGGCTTGGCAGTGACGAGAAAAATATACCCACACCTTTTGTTACACCCATCCCACACTCTTGGCTGCAAGACCCCATCCGCTTGGTGATCCGTGCAGAGAATGAAACACATTATGTATTCTATGCTGCCTCTAGTTCTCGCCCATGGGATATTTTGAGACTTGGACAGGCCCCAGCCACAATCGTGAGTGGTGGGGCAGGACCCTTCACAGGTTTGTACCTCCACACTTTTTGGAGCTATCTCTGTATATCATACTAACTGTTTGCTATCAGGGTCATTGGTAGGAGTTTACGCCACCAGTCCTAATGGGAGGGGCGGCACTAAGTCGTATATCTCTAGGTGGAGATATCACGGCCTTGCACAGGAGATTGGTAATGGAGATTTTGTTCACTCTTGAGCACCGATGCGCCTAGAAAGGCTTAGTTTCCAGCTACAGACTTGTATACAAGGTTCTAGATAATATAAGGAAGGCGATTGGTATATCCAGGGTATGGAGAGGCGAGCAGACGGGCGGAGGGAAGAAGAAGGAAGGGGTAGAGAAATAAGAGAAATAAGATTAGATTCTGAGAGCACCAAGTACGGTACACGGAGGTCAGGATTGGACGGAATCATGCCCTGGCAGTAGCTGGTAGATTTGTCATAAAAGGAAAATCAATCGGTCGTATCCTTCTCGGTTGGCCTTGGGTCGTCATGCTAACGGGCCGCGATTTAATAAATATTCTTTCCATTATGATACACATACTAACCTAGCCAGATGAGATCCCATGGTTAGTTATGGACTTACTAGATGTGCTAGTATTTTTGGGATGAAAGGCTGGTTGGTGCTTCTGATCTTATGAACAAGCAATATGGACATGAACGTGTCTTGTGGCAGGCAATATGTCTCTTCCTTTGGTGATACTACAAGGCTTTTCAGCTAAATACAGATACTTTCTGGTCCATACACAGTGTTTAAATGTGTATAGTTGTATAATTGTTTGCCCTTGCGTTTTGGATTTTAAATTTTATATAGCTTGCGGGCGAAAAGTATGCAAGACCCACGAAAAAGCGACACAATTTTAGTGGTCACAGAGATCCTGGACAACGAGAAAAAAGTCAAGACACATTGCAACTTCCAGCTAACCTCTGGATAGGTAAGCGCCAGAAGTATAAACAAATTGACCGAGTTCGAGATATACCAGAAACCAAATACCAGGCACTGGTAGGCTCGACGTCTTCTCACAACTCGTTGATGGTCTGCTGTATTGGAAGCCGCCCAAACTACCCATGTCTTCGTCCATTTTTTGGATAGGAGAAGTTCCCGGTGGTAAAAGAGAATATCCGCCGGAATCAAATGTCAATGATGATCTAGGGCTCATCAGGAATAAGAAATGATTTCACCACATTTGTAGGTTCCCTATACTGTTGGTATTGACCTATCATGATGATACGGGATCATGCAATAGGGTATGGCCATTTGTCGGTAAAAGAGCCGTAAGACCTCAGGTCTCTGTAAATAAACTACCATATCCTTACTTCGACATATCATTATCGCTACAGTTGTTGTTACGGATCCGTCAACGTCCACAATAACCCCCCTCCCCAGCGCAGTGCATCGTAGTTTACATGTATATATGTACCTATGCGTACCGGGTTTTCCCTGGCGGGTAGAACTTTCCTATTTGAGCTGCCGCCACTTTTATGAGATGCTCAGACTCAGGCTCACTGAGTAGATGTCAGCACGGGCTCATATCAGTGATCATGCTCATATCAGTCACATGCAGAATGACTAATGCTTAGTGAGTACTTATTAGTTAACGTAACCGGTAAACGAGTCGCCATTGTAAACGAGCCGCCACCCTACCTCCATATATGAAAATTAAATGCATTTATCTCAACCAAAACGCCATTAAATTAAATATACTAAAATCATCTACCTAGCTAGGCATCTATTGAATTTATGCCCTATTGATCTGCACCCACTATACCTCGCTAGCGCCCGTATACGTGGTTCTAAAGCCGGCGAAGGGCTTCTTCGGGGAGGGGAGGGAGGTGTTTCATTAGCTTCCACCAGCTCAGTAATTAATTGAGAAGCTTCTTATACTAAGAGGCCTTCTTCTATAGGTATCTACCTCCGGGATCTAGTATGCTTTTACTTCTGCTTCTCGTTAGCGGCGCGTAATTCCTTATTTTCGTTAGCGAGTAAGATAGTACCTTATATAATAAGACGGGAGCCTTTTATAAGCTGGTTTAATATACGATCTAACGGGCTAGGTAGGCTCCGAGATCTTATACGAAGTAGAGCTTTAATTGATAAAGCTTACCGACGTAGTTCTTACTCTATAATAGGGGTTTTTAGTATATAATGTCGAATACCAAGTCCGAATACATGGTAGAAACCAGGTAATATACTAGAAACATCATGTGACATTGGGTATCGGGCATACCATACAAAAGTGCATATTACAGTTAGTTATCATTATCCGCACAGATTGTTGAAAAGGCGGGTTTTGTCATTTTAGTGAGAGTGGTCAACATTGGTCATCTATACCATACATTGTTCGTACGCCAGCTTTCTGTCACTTCACGATAATCTTGATTTTGCTATTCGAGATCAAAGGGTACGTCCAATTAGGAATCTAGGATATAGTCGAGTTGCTAATATTCAAACTATAGGAGAAATAGGATGCCTTGGAGGTAGAGTGGGTATATAGGACCTACTTCTAGCCAATAGCTATATACTAGGCTATCCTATTACATATTATTTTTTCTATTCTCTTTAAAAGCGAGAGTGCTATTAACCTCGACCTAAAAGCGTCTATTTCCGTAGCGGATCTAACATTACTCAAATCGCTTGTTGGAAGCTGTCGAAGACTAGGCATACTCTTCTATCCAAACATACTTGCTAAGTATAAGGAATGTGACCTGCCCGGATTTGTCTAGGTGGGAGTCGAGGAGATCAAGAGATTCAATATAGCACTGTATAAGCTCTGTGCGAAACTGAGTAGCGAAAGTCCGAAAGACTGGCCTTTACTACCTACTGGTGAACTTCAATTCCCACTGCTAAGTAACGATTCCCTGTAGAATTCTGTTGAACGACATGAATGGGAAGCTAATGCGAAGAGGGAGGATACGGTTTCCTTGAGCGACGACGTTCAGGCAAAGTGGATTTCCAATCTTGCAGATGTATTAGGATTCTTTGGTGTATAACGAGACAAATCGACCTTTTCCTTTCGAGTTGCCTGTAACAGTCTGACAGTTCCGTTGCTTCAAGTCTTGAATCATGAGCCACTACAGATACTCATATAGCTTAGTTCCACTGAAGCCTCCAGTGGCGGCCGGGGGTGTTCTTGATGCCGTTTCTGTCGCCTAGGCTCTGTCGGGCCATACTACATCGACCGTCACATAAAAGCTAAAGCAAGTATCATCCCAACACGTTAACCTTGAAGATACCCGAGATTACGAAGTACCAGCTGATGCCCGCTTCCCAGAACAAGGCCGGAATACAAGACCTTACGACCGACAATGCTACAAAGACCCTATGGATCATTTGAGTTGCATATTATTAAGCCTGTTGCGAAATACGAACAAATATTCGCGGCATCACCAGTAACTTCATGGCTGAGTGGAGTGCCGATGGTGGGAAACCGGCGCTGGGAGACAGATGGGAGGCCGGTGGGAGGCCGGTAGCAGACAGGTGAAAGCCGGACGGCAGGTTTATAATCACCCTTCGGAGTGAAGAGTAACTTACTAAGGTAATAATTTTGTCAATCAATAGCATTTATTACGCGTCTATAATATTACACAGTTCTTGAATATTCTTGCTGCTCGAATATCCAATACCCTTATGATTAGGGCAGTTTAATGTTGGGGTGCTGGCAGATTCTCTAATCATTTGATTATTTGCTTTCATAACATAGGATCCTTTTTACAAAAATGCATGTAGGTAGGTATTACTCCGTGGTCGACGTCAAACCCACAAGCTCCGAATATGGGAAGCAATCCCCAAAAATAGATAAGAGGGATCAGCAGGTACCTTGTCTCCTATGACTGTATAGCTCTATATCTAATTGGCTAGGGAATCTTCATCTAATCTTACATTCCGTTGGTCCGGACAAGATTGCTCAACATTAAGATTATTTTACCGTAGCAAGCGTGTCAAAATCGTACTGCATGGAGGCTTAGTCCGTAGTCCTTTGCTTTCAGGGGTTAATCAATAACCGATCAATGCACTTAAACGGTTCGGACAAGCGGATGTAACTAAGTAGTATATAAAGCAGGTACAATTTTGAAGCCTATAAGAAGTAGGATTTGGACAATGATGATAAGGACTTGATTCATGGTAACCCCCAAAGCCTCATTTTGCTCAATCATGAAAACCTATACCTCACTTGGTGCAGCCTTCCTTGTGCTCCTCCCGGCAGCACTTGGAGCTTCGTCCACTCCAACTGTGACTATCTCCTCCCCCCAAGCGACTATTATTGGATTGGGTGGCCAAGTTGAAGAGTTTCCTGGTGTCCCGTTCGCCAAACCGCCAGTCAAAGATCTCCGCTTCAAACCTCCTGTGCCATTAACCGAGCCTTACGGGGTATATAAAGCTACCGAAAACAAGGATATCTGCCCACAATTCATTGCCAGTACTGCAGACGGAAACTCTCTCCTCCCTAAGTTCCTTGCTTCGGTGATCAATTCGCCAATATTCCAGCAGCCCATTCTTTCAGCGAGCGAGGACTGCCTTTACCTCAATATTCATCGACCGGCAGGCACAAAACGTGGAGACAACCTGCCAATCCTTTTCTATATATACGGAGGTGGCTTCCAACTTGGCTGGAACTCCATGTACGATGGCAAACCTTGGGTTGAAGAGTCAGTCAAGCTAGGAAAGCCAATAATCGTGGTAACTGTTGCCTACAGAATCGGCGGTTTTGGGTTTTTGCCTGGTCGCGAAATCCAGGTAGAAGGGTCCTCCAACGCGGGACTATTGGATCAACGACTCGGCCTTCAATGGGTAGCGGACAATATTGAGGCATTTGGAGGAGATCCGGAGAAGGTGACTATATGGGGTGAGTCTGCTGGTGCCTGGTCTGTCTTTGATCAGATGGCTCTATATTCTGGAAATCACACCTATAATGGGAATCCGCTATTCCGGGGAGCAATTATGAACTCTGGCACCTTTCTGGCCGCCGATGCTACTGATGATCCTAAAGCTCAAGCGATCTATGATCAGGTGTGTGAACCCTAAATGATCCTCCGAGAACCGACTTAATGAAGGTTCATCTTCTCAGGTTGTTGAAAGGGGAGGGTGCGCAGATGCTCCGGATACCCTGCAATGTCTCCGGAGTCTTGACTATACCGCATACTTAAATGCCGCGACCTCCGTGCCAGCCATGCTCGGATACCAATCCCTCGCTCTTGCGTACCTCCCTCGAGCGGATGGAACCGTCCTCACAGACGCCCCAGACCAATCGGCATTGGAAGACAAGGTTGCCAAAGTCCCATTCATCGCTGGTAATCAGGAAGACGAAGGAACGCTCTTTGCCCTCTTCCAATCAAACATCACCACCGAGAAGCTCCTTATCGACTACCTCGCCGATGTCTTTTTCCCGAGTGCATCCCAGCAGTTGGTAAAGGAATTTGTTGATCTCTATGCCGATACCGACACGAACGGCGCGCCATTCCGCATTGGATCCAAGAACAATATATTCCCGGAGTTCAAAAGACTTGCAGCAATCATCGGCGATCACGAGTTTTTGCTTAGTCGGCGTATCTTCCTTGAAGTCTCGGAAACAGCCAGCCCTGATGTTCCTACCTGGTCATACGTAAGCTCTTATGACCACGGCACACCAGTCATAGGTACGTTTCACGGGAGCGATCTGCTTCAGGTCTTCTTCGGCATCCTACCTAACTATGCGTCGGACGCGTTCCACGCCTACTATATATCGTTTGTTAATGCTCTGGATCCGAACGACGGTAACGAGGGGAGTTTTGCTCATTGGCCTCAATGGAGCGGGGATCATCAATTGCTGAATATGTACGCCAACCACTCGGAGCTCATATCCGATGATTTTCGGTCTGAGGCTGCGGCATTTCTTAAAAAGAATATCAAGAGCTTCCGTCTTTGAGAGGCTCTTCGTGGGTCAATTAAGAGTGCCGGCAGCAGTGGAGAGCTGGATCTGAGTAAAGTTGGATGCGGAATGGAGAATATCGGGACATATCCCTCTATCAGAACAAGCTGGCGTCTGATAGATCGCATTTCTGTCTGTGTATGTAAAATTGCGCTAAGCTGCGGCTCCGACGTATGGGATTCAGGGGTATTTTGAACCTGACCTGGAACACAATCTAACCATACATGGATCAATCGACTTTTTCTTAGGAGCATGAACACTGTTCACTTAACTCTGTACACGGTACCTAGCTGGTGATACCAACAGTAATAATAAAAATATCTCTGTCTTTCATTCATTAGGCACTGCGATAGCATGATTGTATAAAGTCGTTCAATGTCCCTAGTTCGTCAGTAGCATTACTCTCGAGATACGCGAATCCTGTTTCTGGTTATCAGAAACCTCTAATGTTGCTTTCAACAGCCACCGCAATTCCTCGGCATGGTTCGGATACCCAAGATGAAGGATTTTCTCTTGCTCCGCACCAATCAAGGTGTCCCAGATTCGTTTCCAGTTGCCAGCAGCCCGGCTGATGGCGTCGAGCGGAAGGTATTTGAGGAGGCCAACCCTCGCTTGGAATGGAAGGGAGTTGATAGCTGAAAATCTTATTAGCTCTTTGGCTTGATAAAAGGTGCTCGGGGTGCAATATTACCGTATATAAAGATCAAGAGATGCTCAGATGAAAGTGAGAGACTCCATGGTATTGAATTTTCGCTGGTAGGCGTGTCAAGTAGTTGAGTAACAACTTCTTTGAGGGGCGGAAGTGGGTTCTCAGTCGGATTTGTCTTAACAATTCTGCTGAACGCAGATGCACTCCCGGCTTCCCAAAGCTCAGCGTTCCAAGGAAGTCGCAGTTCATTCCAAATATCGATAAGGACGGGTGATTTTTGAAGCAGACGGTGAGAAAACCGTCTGCGAGAAAAACCCAACATGCAATTCTGCGAATCTTCAGCGAAGGTACGATTGAATGAACTTCGCAAATTAAAAGACCTACCGTATACACATTTCCTCTGCTACTAGTATTCGCCATGTTTGTTCATCACATGTCTTTGGGGGCGTTCGCCGCTTTAACTGGAACATACCCAATGACCTGATGGTAGATACGAGGCACGGTTACGGGCAATCCGAATGCGTCTCCTCTTCAGCATATCATCTCGACCAAATTGCAGCATTTCTATGATAAGAGCAGTCTGTATCAACTGCACGGTCGGGAGAATAGCAGCAGAGTCCTTGGGCGGGGGTGTCGCGGGTAAATTTGACACTTTTCGGAAGATATACTCTTCAGCCACATCAAGAAGCCATGGTGACATTGATGCCCTGTCAAGCGGGGCTATGTATGCTGCTCCTGCCATGAAAATTAAAAGAAGCAGAGGGTTTGATACATTTCCTGGGTCGAATGTAGGAAAGTGAACGATTGGCAGGTGTTAGTGAAGAGAATGAAAGAATGCCGAAATGAAAGTGGATATACTGGACACTCCCAAGCGAGATGTAAGCTCCATAATGTCGAGCGTCTCTGGTTGATTGGTATCTGAGGGTGTCATGGATTTTGAAGTCTCAACTAACTCGGTCATAATCTCAGTAAGTTGATTGGAAAGCCTTGATGGGAAGAGAACCTCGTGTGGGTATTGGGTTTACATCGACTCATCCGTATTTGAGGCAATCTGAAACGGTAAATCGGGAATTTGAAAATTGCCGAGGAGATTTGGTGTAGGGTTAGTGGGCGTGAGCGCTTCTTCCAGGCGCGAATAGAGGCTTTCAAGGTTCCTTCGCACGAAGCGGTATCACCTATTGCAAGTCGATCTTTTTGAATCATAGGATTTGCGAAATGATGAGGGAATGAAATGGGCCGCCGCCTTCGAATGCGTTGGCCGAGAGGGTTGCAGTTGGTGAGATTGAGACATTAGAGACTAAATCGATCGGAGGTGCCTCTTAGCTCGTAAAAATGCACTCCCGCTCGAGGGGGATGCATCGCATGCATGGAAGATTATTGTCACAGACGGCTTTTGTCGAGAAGCATAGATCGCATGACTGTCTTTTCCTGCCTGGTTTTGCCGCGACAGGCGGAGGTTCGTGATGCCTTTTTGAGCATACTTTGCTGTGCCTTCGAGTGACCTCTCTGTTGGTAGCTTAGATGAGGGTAGTTAAATTTCTTTCCCGTGGCTTGGCGAAGCGTATCTAAGCTGTTGAACGCACGGTTTTAAGAAGGATTTATTACAAAAGGGGCAGCTGGAAGCAAGTTGACGAGTATCTGGAATTCGTTAGCTGGTCCAAGCCATCCATGAAAGAAACAGGGTTCCTTGGAATTTACGGGTGGATTGATGGCGCAATAGATGGGGTTTCCTCTGATATGACTTTTCACATTGCGAGCATTGAAACATGATGCTGTAGTAATATATTGGAGTTGGGTTCAAGTGAAGTTCGGGAATGTCGGGGGGAACGAAAGGCCAAAGCCAGAGCAAAGCCAGGGATGGCACTACGCCTAAAGAGGAAGGCCGGGACTGCACTACCTGGGCGGACTGATGAGAATTAAGAAATATCGATACAATTCTATATAACTGGTGATATATGAGAGTTTCTCAAGTTCTATTGACATAAAGAAATATCTAAGTATAGAGTACATCGATTGTTCTAGTAGCTCGCATGACCCAGTGCATTCTGAGCCTCCCGCATTTCATCATCGGAAGGCAAAAAAAGCCAGGAACCCCAGCATTGCACCCGAGCGTTCATATAGTATCGGCTATTGTCAGCCGCGGCTTGATGGCTGCGGTAGTATCCCGCACTATGACTTGTCATAACTGCAACTATCGACCCATTGCACTCCGATTTCCACTAATTGCTGGTGGAATACTGCAGAATTCTACGTTAACCAAGTGCCCAGTGATCTTCTCTTCCGGAGGCTGGCAGGACAGCAGAATCGTGCCAAGCCCACCAACACCACCCCTACGTGTATTTGGTGCTGGGCCGGATAACAAATTTTCTCATTTCATCAACTTCCTACCAATTTTTATACTACCCAACAATGTCGGAAAATTCGGGGTTAATAGAATTGAGATCGAACCTCTACTAGCTAGTAGATGGTTTAGGAGTACTAAGTCAGTTTAAAGGGGCAAGATAACCAAGGTTGTCTATATCTCTATCGTAAATAGATATTATTAAATTCGATTGCTAGCTCTAGGATGTAATAGACGAAATATATAGGAAGGATTAATTGCAAAGAGAAGAACAAAAGAGAATGGGGATATATATAAAGGTAGAAGACATATTAGCGTAGCTATAAATAGAGAGCTAAACAGACGACTTGTCATTTCTTAAAAGCAACTACTTTACTAGTATTTAATTGGTAATGTATTTCACTACCGAGCTGGCCACACCACCGAGCTGACCACCCCAAAATACCATAGTAAATGCGATATATTCTACACTTATATCTCAACAACCATATATTTATTTTACTTCCTTGTTTATTGATAGCTATTGATAAGGCTTATTAGTACTCTATATCAATTTCAAAGAAATTAGGATGCTATATTATCATTATTTCAAAAATTACTGATAATTACGTTACTAAAAGCTAGAAATATATATATTTGAATCAATAAGTTATAGAAACTCTTGAAACTCTATAAAGATGCTATATATTACTTAAATAGTATCAACCTAGAAGTAAAAGTCCCTATAGACTACCGTTGTTGGGATATTCAAGTTGTAATTTATCGAATTTACTATGGTGTTTTGGGGTGGCCAGCTCGGTAGTGAAATATGTTATATAGTTAATATAGGTTATATATTAGACCTAGTAAAATTATAGTAAAACGTAGCAATAATCTATCACTTTTCTAACGCCCGTTAGGCCCGGCGCACTACCTGGGCAACTTAGGATGTGTCGAATACCAATGTTACGGACCTACCCGTCACTAATCGGCGGTGCCCCACCGGGTACATAGCTGGGCCACTAAGAGCTAAACGATCAATCTGTCAGCAGATCACGTACAGCACCCAATACCTAGGCAACACTAGGGAAAAGAGAAACTATGATTATGCTCAGTAAGCGAGAGCATGATCTGCCCTAACTAGACTCACCGGGCAGAGGTGTTCTGTTACATATGCGTATACAGATGACCAAGAATATCTAACACACCGCCAAGTATCTTTTTCTTGGAAAGACAATGCATTCAATGACAAAAAAATATGCTAAACAAATGGGCTTACATCTAACCCCAAAGCAAGGTCCATGGAAATACCTATTCGCGCTATCGCAGACGGGTAAAAGCAGAGACGACGTCTTCAATATTCGTAGGGGTAGCCTTACCCGTCTTGACCATCCAAACCCCCTCCGCATGCCTTTGCACAGCTACTTCTTTCCGGGTACCACTGTGTATGGCGGTCCACAAGCTCTTGCTGATGCCACTAGTAGGATACGCAAGTATTCCAAACATACCAGCTCCGCTCTTGGTTGCCAAACCGGTGAGTCCTTTCCCTACCCCCTTCATGGCTCCCAAGGCGCCTTCTTTCCTGGCACCCTTATAAGGCTGTACCACAACGTCACCGAGACCATCAATGAAGCCCCAGGCAAATGTCTTGCCTGCTACTACCACCCCACTCTTGGCGTCTGTGACCTTACCGTTGTCACGTACAGTGCCTCCGTATATGTTCGGTACAGACTTCATGCCTTCAGTGAGAGCAAGCGGGAAGTCGACCATCATACCTTTTAGGGCGGTTGGCACAAAAGAACCGATGCTCTTAGCGGACGCAGCGGCCATCCTTCCTGCGAGTGAGCCCTGACGCTTTGCTTGAGGGCTTCCTGTTGGATCGGATTCGGTGGAAACACGGCGATCAAGATCAGCGCTGCTCGTTTCATCCTTGCTATGGTCAACGGCAGAGGCGTTCTGACGATCGAGACTTCTCAGATCCCAGGCACGCCGCCGGCGATCGCCTCGCCATTCACCGATAGGTTTTGAGACTATACCGGTAACAGACCCAGCCAGATCTACTGCCGTAGCCGTAACTGCTGAGCTTCCACCTGAAATAGGATCCCACCGCGTGGTCTCGATAATCAGGGGATTGCTTTGATACCTGCGTTTGTGACGTGTTAGTATGGTAGTTCATCGCCTGGGGTGGACGAAGAAGGTCGATGAAGAGGTTGATGACGATGATAAGTATCAGGCGCTCACATTTTCATATGTTTAGACTCCGCTGGTGTATTCACCAGTATAATCTCCGCAGCAATCTTGGAGAGCTTAATCGGGGGTTTCGATTTGCTGTACACCCATACAGCTGGATGCTCCGGAATTAGATCGCACCGGATCCGTTCCAGAGGGAGCTGTCGATGGAATGACTGAACAGCGGCTCTCACCCCTCTCTCAGACTCCATGTTAGCCGCCAAGGATGCGGCTGCAGCTACAGCTTCATTTGAGAGACAGTAGCGTATCCCTTCGGCAAGTAAATCTGCGGTCATCTCCGTGTGAGGTATAGGCCTGGGCCCTGCACCCGCCTTGGCGACCATTTCTCCCCAGAATGGCTGACTATGAAAGTGGTTAGAAATGGACCACCGTCCAACAAGGGTTTCAATAAAGTCATGGTGTGACGGGCGCTTACTCTCCAAAGAACGGCACAATAATGGTGGGCTTTCCATTCTTTAAGCCGCAAGCTGTGGTGCCTGCACCTCCGTGATGGACTACAGCGGAGACGTGCTGGAAAAGCCATTCGTGGGGGCATTCTCCGATCCAGTAGACATCTTCGGAAGCTGAGCCGGCTAGATCAGACCATCCTTTCGAGATAATGGCACGGATCCCAGTAGCACGAACAGCATCCAGTATCGTATTGACGATCTTGTCTGGATTTTCCAGCACGATGCTGCCAAATCCTATGTAGACCGGCGGAGGGCCAGCGTCAAGGAAGCGGACAAGGTCAGAAGGGGGTAAGAATTCAGGAGTGTCGCGGAAGAAGAATCCACAGACATCTACATCATAGTTAGCCGGTGCCATTGTGAAAATGGAGTAGCCGGGTCCGGAGACGGCATACCGATATGTGAAGGCCAGTCCGCTGGCTTCGGTACCAGTGCTGGTGACCAGCAGTACGTAAACGGAATGTTCAGAGCCCGTGTCAGCATTGGACCATCAAACATAGCTACTTCCTCCAGGTCAATAGACTTGCGCCATTTGTTGATTATGTCACCAAGCCTAACATGAATTGTATCAGAATGCGTCTAGGCAAGCAAAGATTTTGGGCAGCCATAATAAGCTGCGAGGAAGACGTACCCTTGCCATGTCATCCATTCCACAACATCGTAGGATATGTAATTAGCGATTCCAACATCGCCACGCACGTTAGTCAGGTTGGCTAACGGATGTGGGAAGGCTGTAGTGCTGCTCCAGGGCATAGTGAACATGAGGTGGACCGGTACACCAAGGGCCTGGGCGCAGTGTATGTGGGCAAAGCTGGGAGGGTTAGCAATGATGGCATCCGCGACAAAGGGCTCCCGCGTCACAGGATCCTTCTGCAAGCAAGAGTCCCAAAACTTCCCCAGCATCTCCTCGACCATGTCGCGTTTCTTCTGTATCTCGCCGGCTACGAGGCTTCGCATGCTGGGGATCAGGCCAGGGTTCTTGACCATATAGGCCATCAACTCGGCTGGGTTTCCACCGATTGGGTAGAACTCGAGACCGGAATCTCGAACAAAGTTGCCGAACATGTCGTGGGTCGCCAGGCGGACACGGTGACCGTACCGCTGGAGCTCGGTACCGAGTGCGATGAAAGGCTGAACGTCTCCTCGGCTGCCGACAACTTGGATGACGATGTTGAGCTTCGTAGCCCACGCAGTAGATTGCGGCACCGCATCAGCGGCAGTGGGATACTCAGGCAATGGGGTCTTGGAGACCCGCCGAGCGTGCGCGTGGTACAACGTTGTAAGCGAACGTGAGAGCCTCGAGTTGCAATCTATTTCCACCCTACCATCACCTAAAGGCACTGTGAGCATTCTGGCTACTTGGGAGCAGGCGGGCATTACATGTCTATATTCATGTGTGTTTCAATGGTACCCACTAGCGTAATTGCCGGTACGGTGCTTCCAGGTTGCGTGTTTAAAGAAGTTTGGGGGAAATACCTTTGGTGTTGGCACCGAATTCGACGGTATCTCCAAGCAGAGGGAAATCGCCAGGGAGCTCTGCAATATCTAGCAAGTTCCTCTCGCTCGCAATGGTCGGAAGACTTGTGTAGGCTGGAGGTGGCGTGTGATCGAGGAATGAGTCGTCCCCGGGGGGTTCAAAGTGCCCTGGTATAATTTTTCTGTCCATAATTAGCCAACACACCTCTCTCGGCGAGAATCTGGGCCAGGTCTCCGTCGGTATGAACAAGATCGGAGGATGGCATGAGATCGAGAAAAAGTGAAGAATGGTTAGCCATATTTTAGTCAGCAGCCCGAACGACCTCGGGAGTTCCCCTTGAGGTGTACCAGGGCTGAGCGAAAATTAACAAGGCAATAACGATTGTCGAATCACAGGATACGAGTTTAACTATGATACCCATCAATATTGCCTTGTTAGAGCCCACTAGAGTGGACAGAGTGGACAGAGTGGACCACAGATCCAGTTTTTAAGGTATCCTCTGTTGTGATGGAGACTTACTGCAACGAGGAATGACTGTGAGGCGTCATGGTCCGTTGTGTTCGTACTTAAACAACTCACTTGAATAAGAATACGAGTGGGGTCTCCAAACCTAATCTAAATACAGATAATTCACGGACACAAAAACAGGGGCTCTTGGTACCCGAGACCCACTGTGGAATTGGCAACCGGTGTACTCCGTATGTTAGTATAAAAGCAGGCCATGGTCGACCGAGTACGGGTTCGGAAACTGGTATTGCAACCTTTATGACAGAAAACTGGCGGTATAACAAAGGTATGGTATGAATGGGAGATATGTAATTATGACTCTAACTATCAAACCCAGTATTTCAATAACGTATTTCACTAAGTGGGCCACCACTAGCGAGTGGGTCACCCATCCAAAATACGTTTACGATTCTTAATGCAAATTTTAGAGAACGCACCAATTGTTAATTGTTTTTATATTTCCCCCTCCCTAGTAACGCATATAACAAAACAAAATAAAAACCTACTAAATACTCCAATTGCTATTTATATCATCTATAGGCGGAATCTAGAGAACAGATAGGGGTCCTAGTGTAGGAGATTCCTATCGAACTATCGAACGGAAGGGAACTGGTATGACTTGATACTAAAAGCTCACTATACGGAGCTAGTGGTAAAAATCAGTGTTTATATTATAAAGAATATTAAGCTACTTACTATATAACCCCTAGATGTTCGACGAGCAGCCACCCCCCGACCCCCCCCTTCCCTCCTCCCTCCACCCATGCAAAGAGCCGAGATCCGGGTCGAGCTCGAGAAGGTCGACCACTAGCACGTTGCGGGTCGGGTTTCGAGCCCGGACCTTGCGCCCAAAGTTGGGCTTTGCGGAAGTCTAGGCAGGATCAGAGAGCCTTCAGCACGACACCCAGAACGAGGCTCTGGAACTGCTTCTGCTCAATACAGCTTTGACTTGTCTCGACAGCCATCCCCAGCCCCATAGTCTCAACTAAGCTCATAGACAACCCGTCCATTCCCCTTTGACTTGGCGTCCATGGGCCCAATCTCATGTATAGCATTTTGCTCTGACGGCATCTCCGAAGCCTGCCACGCTAAATCATCATTCTGTAGTACAGGCTGCATTTGCGGGGGCATATAAGTGGGCGGCGACGAGGCGTGCTCGATATCGACAACCGGGGTCTTATCACGGCCACAGCAACCCACGATTCTCTTGCGGAAGATGATGAGCAAAACGATAGCGATGGCCGCGAAAGACACGACTACTATTCCAGTTATTGCGCCGCCTGATAGGTGGTAGGTTTTGTCTGTTGCTGTGTCTGGGCTGGAGCGTGGAGTGTGATGGATTTGTGTTGCGACTAACGATTAAAAGTACTGTTAGCAGTTGTTACGGGGCACCTGGGTGATTCGGCTATTCGTGAAAAGGTTGGTTCTGCCGAGGAGTTGCGTACTAGGTAAATGGGTTATAGCGGTCGCCGTCGTCATGATGAATGTGCGGAATGGTGTTATTGTTTGAGTCATTAAGACTTGAACATTGGACACTTAATATTCACAATGGCAGTCAAGAATCCTAAAGACAGTAACATCTCGGATCGGAGATAGTATTGGGGGCTGAGGGTTGAATATCTCAAACCACTTAGGGTCTCTATGGGAGTGGGGCCACATGAATATAAGGCGTGCCGTGCTAATAACTGTGGCGGCCCGCCCACGGTGGGTTTTGGGCCGCCTATCTTTCAAGAATACCACCCGCCAGTCTGGCAAATCTGGAGGTACGGTGGAAACTCATCGCTTTCTCTACCCATTAATGATGGAGACGCCGAGAAGTAGACTGCAACATTGTAGAGGTGGTTTAGTAGTATCAAGGGACAAGAAATAGGAGCCAGGCAGTGTTTCTTACCCCTTGCTTTCTCCTGACAAACAGCGGGTTGGTAGGATTTGGGTTCGATCTAGTTATCTCCGATCCGACGATTGTGGCTTATACGGTTAAGATATATGACATGCTAATTAAGCACGAGTCATGATTGGTTACTTATCCGCTCCGCGGGTCGGAGTTATGCTTAGCTTTAGCTTGGCTGGTCTTTAATGGTTCACTTTGTTGAATCTAGTGTGAATACAGCCTGATTTGTGAATGTTGGTTTTAACTCGGGACTAAAACCGCCTCCATTCTCCCAGATGCCTGGTGCTTCTAATTGGATCACCTTCGGCCTTGGCAATAACACTGTGCAAATCCTAATTATGGCTTTTCAGTCCGATGTGAATACGGCAATCTCTATTGTTAATAGCCCAAATCCACAAAATATATTACACTTATGGTGGCCAATCAATCTAGCAACTGGCTTTCTCAATTCTACACAGCCTATATTTGCTAGGATTTCTTCACTACGTGAAATTTCCATACGTGTCGACCAAATATTGAAGCAACCCAAAATGAAACAAATGATTTTCGCAATACGTATAACGACAAGCCTTTGTGGGTTACCGAGATCGCGCCAGGAAATACGAACCCACTTTGTTCTTTCAGCTGGAACCAACCGACGGAGTGCATGCAACAGATCTATTCCTGGGGTGAGGCAACTGAATACATATATAAATATCATCATTGTCCTTCTGGTTACCAAGCGCTTAACGTTCATACTGTAGTCAAACTTTATTCTACAGCCAACTTACACTTATACCATGCCCACATATAGCACATATCTGCTCTTTTTTTTTTTTTTTTTTTTTTTCGATTTTCCCATATAAATCTACCAGTCTTGACACCACCTCACCTTCCTAACGTAATTCACTACCGAATCGCCCACCCTACCGAACCGCCTACTCTGCCCAGCCCCTACTACTGTTTTGGAATATTACTCTACCGCGCTCTGCCAATAGAATATTGTCCATATCCTTCACCGTACTAGGTATTATGGCTGAACCGCGCGTATCCATCGATAGTATCCATTGTAGGAGCGATTTCTCTTCATTGGGAGTCAATTTATAACAATTTGCATGCGTCTCTTTGCGAAATGTTGTCCCGCTGAGACGCGTCGCTAAAGTAGAATGCGGTATCGGCGCGCAGTCTCGCGAATCGGAAGAATTTCCTTGCTATTATACGCTTATATTGCGAGTTGAATTCCACTCTCTTAAACCATAGAATTTTGTGAAATTCCCCAGCGAATTTGGGGCACAATGGGCAGTTTAAGGAGGAAGCTGGCGCGTGGGAGCGCGATTGCGATCGCGATTCGATTTAATCAATTGCAAGAGCCCATAGGGCTTGAAATATGGGGTTAAGCTTTGGAAGAATTCGACATACTACAGAAGTTAAGAACTTTATCGAAAGGAGAGGATCGGGACAAAGTTGAAGAGTATAACACCGTTGGGAAATGACGAGGGAAAAATCCGTTGCTTCTGTTTGGTCTTTTTTGAGCGTTGACGAATAAATACCTTGGAAGAAAACAACTACATTGCAAAGCTGACTGGTACTTCCTTTAATAGCCTCCTGCGTCTTGAGTGATCAGTTCTAATAAACCGTATTCTAAATTCAAGAGTTTATCTGCAAGCGCACCGATGAAAAGGCCAATGAGCGTATTATATCTAAATGTGAAACACGGAGCTGCTCACCTTCACAAAGTACGTCTACCTTCATTTGCGGATGTTCAAGTACTGTCATGTCATAATTTATCTTCGGGATAAGCATTTTCACAGCTCTTCCTGTGTGCCTTTACTAAAAATAGCAACCTTATCCGTCTTGTTGAAAAAACTCCCCATATTCCAGTAGATCGGATAAAAAAATCCCGTAAAGCATAGCCTTCACTAGGCGGAACTGGTCACGAATATGCCATGGCCAAGGCGGAAACTAAACCGTGTTGACCTCTGCACGGAGTACATGGTACCGAAAGGTTAACCCGCCGGGAGAAACAACTCCCGAAGTCGTTACTCGAAATTAGCTGGTTATATAAGCGAAAATCAGGGTAACTATCCCGGAGCTTTTGAGTATCCCTGAGCTAGAACCGGATCTCAGCTTCTAGGGTCCAATCACAATTATCAGCTGCAAGAACGTGTCCGATCATTAGGCACGTAACTATGTTGTATATTAATGATAATGACCCTGATGCCTAGGCCCAATAAAAAGGGGGCGCTAGCCAATGACTCAGCGGAGTCTGACGCCGGTGCGGGTACTTCCGCTGAGTAAACCGGATATTTTTCCAAAGTCCTTCCGAATGTTGACCCTCTGGATCTACAATATAAAAGTATATTTAATTTTTTTGGAAAGCAACAACTATAAAGCCCTGTCAAGGATAGTTCCTCTTCGTGCACATCATTCTATACACTTCGGTCTCATACCCTGAACGTATAAGCCAACTCAATGGTGCCTAAATCATTTAAAGTCATTGTCGTCGGCGGTGGCCCTGTCGGTCTGACCGCCGCCCACGCCCTTCATCATGCAGGCATTGACTTCATAATACTTGAATCGAGGAGCTCTGCGGTTCTGGATCAAGGTGCCAGCCTTGTTTTATCTTCGCCGAGTCTCAGAATCATGCATCAGTTGGGAATTCTAGAACGACTGTTGAAGATAGGAGGAGAGCTTCAGCACACTCAGTCTATGACACGAGATGGATATCGCTTTGTGAGCTCTCAAGCAGTGTTTCAAGTCCTGAAAAAGAAGTAGGTCTTCTATGATGTATTTGATAAGGAATCCGCTCCACGGTTCCCATCTGTTTGTGAATAGAAACCTATACTAACCACCGCTTATCAGCCATGGAAGTGCGCCAGTCGCGTTTCATCGCGCCCAACTCATTGAAACTATGTTTGATAGTTTGCCCGCAGCGGCGAAGGATCGTTACCTTCTGAATAAGAAAGTAGATTCCATTGAATCCGATGAGACCGGAGTGCGTGTGACTTGCACCGATGGAAGCACTTACGACGGATCTATTGTCATTGGGGCAGACGGTGTACACAGCAAGTCTCGTCGAATAATGCGCCAAGAAGCACTGAAAGAAAATCCCCAGCGTGATTGGGACGCGGCTGTCCCTTTCCCAGCTCTGTACAAATGCATGTGGTGTAGCTTTCCTCGGGTCGGCGACTGTGGACAAGCCACTGATACACAGTCCCAGGATATGTCAACCATGTATTTAGCCGGTCGGGAGCGCGGGTGGATCTTTCTTTACGAGAGACTGTCTGAGTCGGTGTCCTCGCGCGTGGACTACACTGAGGAAGATCGACAAGCCTTTGCGGCTAAATTTGCCGATTTTCCGATAACCGACAAATTAAAGGTTAAGGACGTGTATGCGACTCGTCTGACTGATGGAATGGCAAATTTGGAGGAAGGCATCTTGAAGCATTGGAGTTGGGGGCGAATTGTTTTGGCTGGAGATGCTTGTCATAAATTCACACCGAATGCGGGGCGTGGCCTTAACAATGGGATCCAGGATGTGGTTTCGTTGTGCAACGGACTTCATGAGTTGCTGGAAACGAGAACCGAGACCGACTTGCCAGATCTAGTCTCTCTGGGTAAGGTGTTCGCGGATTATCAGCAGACCCGATCAGCTCCCGTGAAGTCCGACGGGGACCAATCCCTTTATCTTTCCCGCATGCATGCCTGGGCAAATTGGTTCTCTTACTTTATGAGTCGATATGTTCTGTCGTACGATTGGTTGTTGACCTGGACGCTGAACTCACTTGCCGCCAACGGGATTCGGAAATCGTTGGTATTGAATTATATTCATGTCGACGAACCATTCTTGGCATCGGTTGAGTGGGAACATCCATTGCGACAGAAGGCAATGAAATAGAAACATTGTGGAGTTCAGAAAGGTTTTCTAGGCGACTTTCCCTTCCTCCATAGGTAAAACAAGGGGAAATTATACCGCCATTCGAATTAATAGCTACTATAATGGACGTACCGTCGACTACATATTTTCTTCTTGAATAGAATAAACGTACTCTCCGCCAATATGTATATTTAATATAAATAAAGGAATAAAGATACTTGTTTCTCAAGGACTTCACTTTGGGTCAAAAACGTCAAGGGAGCTAAAACCTTGTCGGTGCGATGTAGAGCTCAAGCTTGGTCATGTTGACCATAACACGTTAATTGAGGGGAATAAATATCTAAAGACTCGAGCCTTTTGTTCATCTTTTGTACGTTCCCTCGCAGTTCTCCTTAAGCTATCAAATCCATCCCGAATGGGGGATCCATAAATAAGCGACTGTTAGTACGAACTGTAGATTACGGTTCAATTATACGATCCACACTACTAGTAAATTTTCTAAACTGAGTTGCTTCCAGCAATTAGTACCCCAAGAATCAACCAAAGCACTTCACTCGTCTGACGAGCCTTTCTCTCGTTCACGGTGTAGAGCCTAACCAGTATAGCGCTCCCGCCCATAGTGGGCCACACCTATATCATCGCTGCTCTCATTTGACCATTTGACTAGAAGGTCGTGCCCAGAATGGTCTCAAGGTCTCCACATATCCTCAGGGTATAACGTCATCAGACTCGCCTTCTTCGTGAATCTCCTGCTCGTCTGAATTCAGGAGAGCTCCGATGCGATTTAGAAGCTCCGTCTCTTCCGGGTCTAGTTTCGTGAATTTGTTGTTCATAATCTGTGCGTGGCGGCGTGCTGGCGACAACTCTAATTCCTTTAATATATAGGGCACGTAATAGATCAGAAGGCCAAGAAAGCTGGTCACAATATAGACAATGAAGATTGCACGGTAGGAATTTCGAGGCATTTCAGAGCCTATGTCGCTAAACGCCAAACACCCAAAGTAGATACCAATTCCAATGATAAATGACGCTAGTGCATATCTCAAAAGAAGGGTAGGTGCCTTAATCATCAATATAGAATGGAAGGAAGCAGACTTCCATCGATTTTTGCTCTTAAACTCCTTTATCATTGACTCAAGCTCTTTCATTCCTTGGTGTCTCACAGTCGATTCATCGCCGATATCATTCTTCCGTATATCTGATATCAAATCATCCATGTCTTGCTGCAGGTTATGAAGTCGTTGAGAACTGCTAGGCTTGCTGAAGAAGTCTTTGACATCGTCGGGAGTAAAAAGGCCACTCATTCTTTGTTGTACTAAGCAAGAATAAAACACAGATAGGCCTCCAGCTATCAAGCTGAGCACGAATGCTGCTTCTGCAGTCCAATGAACCTGGTCAAGGTCTGTAAGTGCTAGGGCTGTAATTGCAACCTGCGCTACAATGGCTGCCTAAAAGTCCCTATTAGAAACACACTCAGCCTGTATTAGGTGATGATTTGTGAACATACAGCAACAGCTAGCATTGTGCAATCCTCCGACGTTGATTTCCGCAAAACCAGCGGCTCGTCTGTTTTGGCACTGAGAACATACTTTTCAATTCCGTCCACAATTTGCCTAGCGTCCGGAAATATTGTTATGAGAACTAGTGCCTGCAGCACACCAAATTTCTGGCTGAGACTGGAGTAATTCCTGCGGAGAGGACGAAGGGTGACAACTTCCCAAACAGGGTAAATGAACCTTTTTGTGACGACAAATTCATATCCATTTATCAGGACGGTTAGGACTCCATATACAGTTCCTACAGTCTCAACACCCCACATGTTGAAATAGAGTGAAATACCAGGGGGAAGTTGAATAGATATGATGTTGTTAAAGAATCAGAAGCGGGGTGAGACGGATAGCCCAACCAAACCCAATTGCCCAGGGGTTGGGCCGCATCACGCGGCTAATGCAAATTTCTGGACATGGGTATCTTTTGTATGACTACCATTCGTATGGCACTTAATATGAAAGGTTCTTGTAACTCCTATTTTTACGGTCTTCAAGAGATGATAATTTTTCCAAACGCAGATAAATGAGTGTATTGACTAACTTTTGGTTTGATTTACGAGATGGCAGGAACTCCAGGCAACAGCGAGGAAAACAGAGGTCCCATATTCAAGAAGAGTACAACTTCTTCTCGTGGGTGTGTAAACCATGGACATTCCCCTCAGCCTGCGCACTCGCGCTTCTCATTTCAAAGCGAACCGATCCCTTGTTCACCCCATCACGAAGGGCATCAAGATTATGGACACCGATATCCTGGAGAGAATGCTGCACACCAGCAACAAGGTAAGGGACAAACTGAGTAATAGAGCCACGATCAATCACGGAGCCCGCAACACCCTGTGCAACCTTGACTTTATCATTCTCAGAGAAGTACCGCGAAGCACCGGCATTATTGCCAGCACCACTCTTGCTCTTGTCCTCCATGACAGCAATACTGCCCATACCACGGAAGGCCTTGACTAACTGCCCTTCGCTGCTCACAAAGTACTCACCAGGAGACTCCGTGGTACCGGCAAGCAAGCTTCCCATCATAACTGCCGAGGCACCGAGCGCAAGTCCTTTCACAATGTGACCTAAGTTCTGGACACCACCATCGGCAATAGTAGGAACACCAAACCGAGCGGCAAAGGCAGACACACTGCGCACAGCGGCAGCCTGAGGACGACCAGCGGCCATGACTTCTTGCGTAATGCACGCCGAGCCACTACCCATACCGATCCGTAGACCGTCCGCACCGGCAGCAATCAACGCCGCGGCTTGCTCGCGGGTAACAATGTTACCCGCGATAACGTCGATATCGGGGAAGGTTTGCTTGATATATTTGATCATGGCAATCTGGAACTTGCTGTGGCCCTGGCTGCTATCCACGACAACAATATCCAGACCCGCGTCGACGAGCTTTTGCAGACGGACCTTATCCGCGTCGTGCGTGCTCACGGCTGCAGCGCAGAGTAGCTGTTTGGATGGAAGCTTTGATGCAAGAGGATAGTGAATGTTTTTCATCAAGTCACTCCGAGAGAGTAGTGAAATCAAAGACCCATCCGTATCCACAATTGGCAGCTTGCCCTTCTTCGACTTCCGGAGGACTTCGTTGGCTTCGGCAAGAGTGGTACCTGCCGGTGCGGTGACGAGGTCTGTCGCCATAACAGCCGTGACTGGATCCTCGGTGTTCCTGTGGAACTGGATATCTCTGCTGGTGACGATGCCTAGAAGTTTCGAATGGAGGGTTCCTTTTTCTGTGAAAGGAATAAGGTAAGAACCACCAAACAAAACAAAGCGCAAAATACAAAAGCCTAGGAGAAATCCAACTAACCAGTCACGGGGAACCCGCCGAATCCCCATTTAGTCTTCAGTTCCTTTGCCTCTCCGATGGTCGTGTTAGGAGACAGAATGATGGGGTCCTGGATGAAGCCATTTTCATAGCGTTTCACTTTCCTAACCATCTCGGCCTGCTCATCTGGCGGGCAGTTATTGTGGATAACACCCAAACCGCCCAGAAGAGCCATATGGATGGCCATGTTATGTTCGGTCACAGTGTCCATGGGAGATGACAGGAGAGGGACCTTGATGGTGAAACGCCGGGTCACTTTGGTTTCCAAAGAAACATCAGATGCCGGGAAGGCTGTTCGGAAGATTAGAGACAACTCCCACTAAACCATGGTTGGTTGCCTTACTGATAGAACCGGGCAAAATGAGAAAGTCATTGTAGGTCAAGGCTCCATGACTATCCGAGTCGAGGAGAGTGTCGACGTGGAGGCCATCCCCAGGATACTCCTTGAGCACCTCTAGAGCCTTCGTATAATCCTGAATTTCGACCATAATGAAAGCAAACCAAAAAGAATAAAAATAAAAATAAAAAAGTAATATGTATTGGGAATGGGGGGATAATTCCCGAAGGAAGTCAGAGGGGCAGGGGATGGGTGTCCTTTTAACCTTGGAAGGCTCTGGCAGCGGCACGCTTGGCGAAGGATCCTTTGATAATTTGGACCCCACGACGACCAGTTTAATCCACGCATTGTCTCAGTTGCTATTGTCTAGGCACCTACCTGGGTACGGAGTACGGAGTTCTCCGTAACGAGCCTGCCCCAGAACAAGACCATGCTAGCAGGGGCTAGAGAAACTAACCAACCAATACGAAACCAGGGATATTTATGGACTGTCGGTGTAGAGGGGCGACGCGACACAAGCAAAAACTGTCGAGACAAGCCCTGCCGGACTTAGCACTAATTGTTGTAACGTTCTATGATCTCTCGTGGGCTACCATTTGTCCAATGCTAGACCAAGGCCTAATATAGACAAGGAATAAAATCTATCACAACCCAAATATGGGCCCAGAGTGCCTCTCCAGAAATGACAATATAAATCTAAAAGGGAATATCCATAGATGGGGTCTATACAGGCCCGAAGCATGGGCGGGCGAGTTGGGTGGGGCCGCCCGCAACCAGGCCCCACATTTCCGAAATTTCGAACGCGCTAGCCAGGGAATATCGTCTTGACTTTGGGGGCTGATTTTGGATTCTATCCAACATGGATGTATGTAGGTACCCCCTCGAACTTGGTTTTTATTTTCTTGTTAACCTACGACGGCTGGTAACATATAGACCAATTCTGCTTCAATCAATCAAAGTCAATTAAACCGTTGCAGTCTAACTAGTTGCGTATAACTATGCAGGCGCTTGGTTCAACTGAAGCAAGAACTCGAAGCCAAACGCTGAGCTGGAACCACATAGTGCTCCCAGAGAGTATACAGATGCTGATCGTAAAGAGCGCCGAATCAGCCCATTCCTGTAACCTGTTAAACCATGAATCCAAACCCATATAACCCATACATAAGAAATTAACACATCATGATCGCCGTGGAACTTATAGGGCCCTCGGTGGACTTCAATGGCATTTCTACCATCATCGAAGAACGTTGGATTCTTCGAAGGACCAACCGGAAAACCCACGTCGACCGTATTCTTTTCACCCACAAGCTCAATACTTGATTTGAATGGATATTGCGCAGGCTATCTGCACAATACAGGCTTCCATACATAGGAAGCCGAGTGGATACGAGTGCTTCCTCAAACTCAACGAGTGGTTGAACAATATCAAGTTTGTCAGGACGCGGTATATCATTCCATAGCTTGTCAAATTCCACTCCCTGGCTCTTTTTCCATTATAATATACCCAGCTCCGATCTTCTCGGTGGAGGGGCTCCAAGCGTACACTATTGAAGCTGGAATATTGAGTATATTCCGAAACCTAAAAGCCGGAGTCAGACCATATAGCGCATATCAAAATGAAACCAAGCAACCCCCCACATATTGCATCGTCGCCACCTCACTAGCTGTGGTAAAGTATTGAGGTCCGGCAATAGGATTGGGGAGCTTTGCAATCACTTATTTCCCATTGTTCACCCTAAGAAGAAAGGTCTTGTTTAAGTTCCCCCCTGGAAGCTTCTGCACTTCGATACAGGACATAGACCCTGTCGCCCGGGTCGCGATCCTGGCGAGTTCTGCCAGGTTGAACTTAACAGCAGCAAGAAGGCTCTTCCTTCTCATTCCAAAGCTAGCGTCCCAATATGTAGTGATAAAGTCTATCCTCATAATAATCTAAGGCGGAGATTTGTTGCATGACAGGGGTTTCATGCGACCAGGGTGGAACAGATGTCAACAAGGCTCGCGTCTGGCGCGAGGTCCAATGTCGGAACCTGGCTATATCAACAATCTGCGATAGAAGGCATGATGAAACAAGTTCAACATCGTTATTGTAGATCAGACTTGGGTTGGAGGATCCCATAAGCCCTGCGTGCGCACATTTTGTCAAGGAAGCAAAGTTCACGTTGCGTTCAAAAAGTACATATCCTTATCACATGCATCACATTACGGGCGGGTGCAGTGCCCTTTTCAGTATCTGTCCCTTCTTCGCCTAGATTGCTAATCTGGAACATCCGAACATGCTAACACTTATCAAATACAGATTTCTAGTTCCACAGTTCTGTTATCACTACAAGGATTCTTGTCTAGCTTTCTAAACAATATGAACTCGATGTTTATTTATTTATCGGGCTTCAGAACTTGGGACGTATTTGTTTTTCCCTTTAGGCTTCCCTATTGGCTTTGATATAGCAATGGCGATAAGAGGTCACGCTCGCACTAGTCCACACCGACGATGGCGATGGAGCTATTTTGCCCTAGTCAGAATGATGATGTCATTTCGGCCGACCGCTACCCACCTTAGGCATAGCACGATGTTTAGTCAACAACAGTCTACACTTATGGATGTACCTTGCACAGATTAAGAGGTGATAATCATTTCCAGATTCCCGATTCAACACCTATCCAGGTGAGCTCGTGGAAATCTGTGCATCAATTATGAACGAATTCAGTTTATGTCCGAAGATCTCCCGGCTGACATAGATATTCCCTGATTGGCTATTTGGGATCCCCATAGTTCCTAACTTCATGTTACTACGTAGGTAATATACAATTCCACCCTTGGAACCAGCAGGGATGACTTCATATGTCGCTTTCTTGTCCATTTCCCGAGTCTTATTCTCAGCCTCCTACATTCCCTCATACTTTACATAGCAATCAATTCCGGACTCTGTATAAATATCAAGATGTAAAACATACTCGAACTTTCAAGGGCCAAAAACAACATTCCCTCACCTCAGCGAAGACTGCCCAGAGATCTCATTGTTTGGATCTGATAGAGTATAAGTGACACCCGAACGTTAGAATCTTCTATAACCAAATTCCTGCGCATAAATGGATAATAGAAGACTGTTCTGACGTCAGGATATGTGGGGAATGCCAAGAAGGGAAGGGGCCTCGGGATACCGCAGATCAACTTATAAGACTTTTTTTTCTTTTTTTTCTTTTTTTTGATGATATTCGGACATAGGATATTGGGATGGATGTGAATATTATAAACACAGTAAATGGTATAACCATCTGAATATATTGTAATATATCAAGCTGCAATTGTTTCATACATTCAACCATAGCAATTATCACTCTAGATCTAATCTGTACGGTGTTGGCCGCCACGGGCGCCACCACTTTGTAGTGTAGATCCACTATAAATCCGGTTTCAGCCCGTGGAGTTAGTTCTAAGTAAGAAAAAAAGTCTGCACATACTCAGTACATACCCAGGTAATCCGTACTTATAACACCTGGAGAAGGTCCACAAAACCTTTTCCTCTCACGCCTTTTTATCCTTCCCCCGCACGCAAGGATGTCTGCCCCAGATCAAGACACCGAAGCTGTTCATAGCGAAAGTAGACCTCTATCTACCAATGGCGCGGACAGTGAATCTAACGGACCCGTCGATATCTCCGCGGCGCTTGAAAAAAAAGAGAGCGAACGCGCCGACGGAAAGCACGAGCTGAAGGAAGGAGATTGCTATGAGATCCTGGGATACTGCTGGCCACGGTGGAAGAAATGGAGCTATCTAGCCGCGGTGGCGTTCGTTCAGGTTTCTATGAACTTCAACACTTCGGTCTACCCTGCTGCTGTCAAAGGTCTGTCGGAGGCTTTCCACATTAGCGAACAACATGCTCGCACAGGCCAAATGGCTTACTTGGTTACTTATTCTATTGGATGTGAGCTGTGGGCTCCTTGGTCCGAGGAATTCGGTCGCTGGCCTATCCTCCAGCTCTCTATGTTCTTGATCAACATTTGGCAGCTCCCTGCAGCCCTTGCGCCCAACTGGGGCAGTGTTGTTGTCGCTCGTGCATTGGTTAGTTTCCCCTTCGACAAGCTAGCGTCTTCGTAGCTTGGTAAACTAACATAATATAGGGTGGTCTCTCTACTGCTGGTGGTAGTGTCACTCTCGGTCTTATCGCCGATATTTACGAGCCCGAAACGCAACAATTCCCTCTCGCATTCATCGTTTTGTCATCATGTATCGGTACCAGTATTGGTGGTGTGATTGGAGGACCAATTGCGCGATGTGAGAAACCCATTTCTCCCCGAGATCACTACGTACCGGTTGGTGACATATTACTAACACCTATGTTTGATATTTAGTCCTTGATTGGCAATGGTTCTTTTGGATTCAACTTATCTTCGGAGGGGTTACTCAGATTATCATCTTCTTCATGCCCGAGAGTCGTTCGACTATTCTCATGGACAGAGAAGCCAAGCGCCGTCGCAAGACCGGAGAAGACCCGAATATCTATGGACCTAACGAGATGAAGAGCCCCCGCATCTCCCTCAAGGAAGCCGGCAAGATCTGGGCGCGTCCATTCTACATGCTCTTGCGCGAGCCCATCGTCCTTTGCCTATCTCTTCTGTCCGGTTTCTCCGATGCTCTGATCTTCACCTTCCTCGAGAGCTTCGCCATCGTCTACAAGCAAGGATGGGGCTTCGGTACACTCGCACAAGCATGGGCAGTTATTCCCATTAACGCCGCCTACTTCATAGCCTACTTCAGTTACTTCCCGTGGTTCATGCGTGATCAAAAGCTTCGACTCAGACATGGTGACGCCGCCATCCCGCCCGAGCGCCGTCTCAAGTGGCTGCTCTTCCTTGCACCACTCGAACCCATCGGTCTATTTGGTTTTGCGTGGACATCGTTCGGCGATTCAAGAAACGTCCACTGGATCGGCTCCATGATTTTCTCCGCCTGTGTCGGTATCGCCAACTTCGCCATCTACCTATCCTCTGTTGATTACATGGTCGCTTCCTATGGTGTCTACTCTGCTTCTGCGACGGGTGGTAACGCTTTCGCGCGTGATCTTCTCGCTGGTATCTCGGCCATGTACGCGACGCCCATGTACACAAATATCGGCAATAAGTGGCATGTTGAGTATGCAACCACGATTCTGGCTTGTCTTTCCTGTCTGGTTGTGATTCCTATCTACGTTTTCTACTGGAAGGGACCCCAGATTCGCGCGAAGAGCAAGTTCGCTTCTACGCTTGCTGCCGACAGAGAGCAAAACAATGGCCGGCGTGTCAGCAGGATCAGTATAGAGCCTGGGTATTGAGCTTTGATCTGAGATATGCAGGTGCATTATTGGCAGTACGTGAAATTTGCATATATCTTTGTTTTCATGCCTGTTATGTATATACGACTCGTCATGGGGTAGATGGCCCCCAGGAGGATTTTTTATTACCTTGTTATTGACCATCTCATCATAACTGCTACATAACCTTGTGGCTGGATTTTGTTCCATGTCTAATGTAAGTTGGTTAGACGCTAGACTCAAAAATATAGACAATTTATTTCAGCATTGTTGTATATATATTTTTGGACCTAGCCTGATCTAGTCTTCGTCGCATATTTAGGGGGAAAGATAGTGTAGGTTTATTTATTATATCTGAAGTTTTCTTCTTAGCTATATTCTGAGCATTCTTGAGAACGAATGAGCAACAAAGAAGGGTTGAGGTTATTTGTAAGTAGGGCGGGGAAAAGGATCAATGCAGTAAGGGATATGCATTATACTACATCCACGCACTTCCCTTATATTGACACCGTTTATTTGTATCCCCTATTTCTCGCGCGTCCAACCCCTCTAACCACCCCCATGCCCAAAATGATCACAAGCACGATCGAGATAGCCGCGCCACCTGCCAAAGTGCGCGAGATTGTATGTACCAGACCTAAGACCCGGATTCTCGGCGAAACAAGCTGATCAGTTATCGCACCCCTAGCTACTCAATTTCTCAGCATACCCGGAATGGCACACGGAATGGCTCAAGCGGATCGAGCTTAAGGACACGACCAAGACCCCACAAGAGCTTTCCTCGGGAGACAAAATCGAAGTCGACATTGAGAACTTCAAGTTCGTCGCTGAAGTCAAGGTGAGAATAACTCTTCCCCCCGACATGGAAAAAGAAAAGTAGGCTGAACACTCTCAATGCCAAAGGAGAACACCGAGAGCTTGTTTTCTTGGCAAGGCCCGCCCGTGTTTACCATTGCTGGTTTGCATAAATTCCACATCGAACCGGCCAATGAGGGTGCTTCGACTATTTTCACGCAGACTGAGGATCTTAAGGGCCTCCTTGCGTTCATTATGAGCCCTTCTCTGCTTGGGAAGAAAATGCGTGCCCATTTTGATATCTTCCATAGGGATCTCAAGGCCCGCGCTGAACTGGCGTGATTTGGGGGCTGGATTTGCTGCACACGCACAGTTAGCTATTTGTGCACGCACTTTCGGTTTCAGTTTGTGCTATCGGCGCCTTGCCTATATTACCCATGTGCGTACGGTGTACACACATTTGTAGGTAAAGGATTGGCTCTGGGACATGGTCGCATAGATATGTCTTGGTCACTTGATTGTATTTGAGGGTTGAACACTTGGAAGCTTAATGGAAAAGAAATATAAAGCACGTCATGTCTTTCCATCTGGACTACCGAAGTGACCGTATAATGACCGGTCTCAAATTAAATTCGCTATAGTATAGCAATGGACTCGCCAACAATGGCGCGAGAGACCTGGTCGGGCCGGGCCTCAAACGGGGGTGCAGTTGTGGCACACCGTTAGATTGATGCCCAAAATGACCCGTTACACCCCTCACACCTGTGGCTCTGAACCATACCGAGAGAATGTGTAGCACTTCCTCCACCATGGAGGAAAACATGTCCCTGACAAAAGCCTGACCGACCGAGTGCTGAGTAAACGCCCGCTTGGTAGAGATTGTGTCTCAGAGGCAGCCATCGTCTTTTGGTCGTGTTGCTCATTATGGTATGGTCGCGTATGAACCTTTTCCGTCATCAAGGATTTTCCGCACAAGTATTGCTCCGTCCATATAAACAGTTGAATGAAACTGTATTTCATATAAATTCCACGCTACTGCTGTATGGAGAGACCGACATCGAGAGGTCTGATACTACCGATTGATCTGTGGGATTGAGGATAGTGTTCCAATGGGATCGAAAGAGATCTTCACTCTGCGGTTTCTCCAACCACAAGACAGTTTTAATGTGGATGAGGGTGTCACCAAAGTTTGCCAGTTGTAGAGCGGCAGCTATACCTCGTGCCCTCTCCATGAATTGTTGGTGATGAGCTGTGCCAGCTGAAGCCACCATCCCGACCGCAGCAAACCACACATCAAATGAATGATACACACGAGGCGTGGACGCAAGATGCTCGAGGTTCTCCAGGAATCGAATGAGAATCGTATTTAGTATGACAGCATGCGAGTAATATGTTGGCCCCTGGGCGGTGAACATGTAAAGTATGATTCCGTAGCGAATGGACTCCGTCATCGGCGATGGCGCGGGTATTATCGTAGCTGGAGCAGATAGTAGGAGTCGGTGGATGACAAAACAAGTAAGGTCGTGAAGTTGTGTGGCTGGGAAAGGTATGTTGCGCACTCGGTGGAAGATGTTGCGCAGACGATTGAAGACATTCTTAACGACACAGTCCACTTCTATGGTGCTAAGATCAAATAGTTGATCGTCAATCACTGTCGAGTTGAACTGCCATTCCGGGATTGGAGGGATGCCGTCTCCAATGCCGAAATCATCTTGGGTCTCGAATTGAGGATGACCCATAATGAGCATCGATACCCTGTGAAACATGTAAATATACACCGTCTGAGTGGCAAATGGGTTGGCTTACCAGCTGATCATTCTCGCGGTAAGCGGGCTTGTCTGCCTCACTGCGTTGATGCCACCTCTCATATCGACCAGCTTTTTCAATCCATTGACATGCATTTCGCCGACTTTTGTATTTCCCTTGCCGAACTAAGCGTCATATATAATCAGGGATAAGTTCTAATTATAAAACAGTAGGAAAAGAGGGTGCTTATGGTAGTATCTCACCTCGATGGTTGCCAAGGTTATGACTGAGTTCATAGTACCATCTTGAACAGCTAACGACATATATTTAACCTTGCGTCGCAGCAAGGCCACTGAGTCTGCCATGAGAAGTTCGGAGGTCTGAAAGCCTTTCTGGGCCAACAACTCTTCATCGAGACATGCTGTCTGTAGAGAGACGTGGAATAGTGCGGGATCCCCTAGGGCAAGTGGCCACCAAGAGATAAGAAATGGATTGGAAGTCGCATTAAGGTCAAGAGGGTAGTATTGGAAGGCGATTTTGTGGAGGACTAAATGGGTAAGTTAATCTTTATCGGCAAGGCTTCATTAGAGGCCAACATACAGTTGTAGATCAACCGTTGAACGTGTTCTCGAGGAAGTCTAGTCTGCGGATACGAATCAAAAGGATCAAGCGACCCGAATCTGTAGTTAGTTAAAGTGCCGGACCCATCTAGCAGGCTTGTTGATGCTTCCTGCCACCCGGAAGTTGCCGGACCCGTCAAAGGTTCGTTCGCATATGCGCACTCGACTTGACGCTTGATGCAGCGGGAACAGCGCGGTGTGCGGAGATCGCAGCTGGACTTTGATCTGGCACATGCCGCACAGGACCGGCGGAGAGATTGGCGCATTTTGAAAGGATATTGTTGGGCATCCAAAGGGGGAATGTGTTAGCTTTAGGAATAGCTCAAACTAGAACCCCACACCGCTGTTAAGGTCACGACACGGTACAAGGAGTTTGAACGTAGGTATCAAACGCAAGTGACAGAAAGTCGGCTCAATGTTGAACTTCCCAGGCGATTATTTCGTTATATGTGGACCTCAGGTTAATGTCCCGAGTCTAAATCAAAAGAGGACTAGACCCCGCCTTACTCCTGCTTGGCATCGGAGTCTAGTCCTAATCGGGTCATATTTATGAGCTGTGGATACCTCGGCGGTATCCATCCATGTCATGCCATTACTAAGAAAACATGCCCTACTTATATCGGTGTTCTCTGCCCATTTTGAAAAAGGAACAGTTTGGCAACTTGCCCCTGTTACCTATTATTATGGACTCCAACATGGCTTTTGAGACGATCAACGTCTCCAACGCTCAGAATGAGCTGCCGCAGATATGGCCTTCCAACCATCCCCAGTCTCAAAGCTACCTGCTAGTGTCCTTGATGAACTTGTCATCTTGGCAGTACGCAGTGACTTTTATAATCGCCATATTAGTCTATGACCAAGGTAAGCAGAGCTTTTAAGACGATGAGAATGTGCTGATGCCCTCTCTAGTGATGTATATCAAACGAAAAGGCTCTATAGCTGGACCTCCACTCAAGATCCCGCTCATGGGCCCATTCATACAAGCTCTACACCCTAAGTTTGAAGGGTATCTTGCACAGTGGGCGAGTGGGCCACTCAGCTGTGTATCTGTCTTCCACAAGTAAGCGCTCACGTCTATTGTGCTGACATCCATTGTCTTCTGGTCGGACTTTATCAAGCCCGCCAAACTGTTCAAACTAACAGGATTTATTGTAGATTTGTCGTTCTAGCCTCCGACAGAGACATAGCCCACAAAGTGTTCAAGTCGCCTGCATACGCCGAGCCATGTATAGTACCGATCGCAAAGGACATCCTAGGTCACAAAGCATGGGTCTTTCTTCAAGGTAAAGATCACGTCGAGTACCGCAGGGGGCTGACCCCCCTATTCACCAACAAGGCCATGGCTACTTACCTTCCGGTGCAAGAGAAGGTGTTGGCCGATTATTTCGGCAAGTTTGTCGCCACAAGCAAGGCGAATCGGGGACAACCAAAGGAATTCATGACCATGTTCCGCGAGATCAACTGTGCACTTTCATGTCGCACGTTTTTCGGTGATTATATCTCCCAAGCCGCAGTCAAGAAGATTGCAGACGATTTCTATCTTGCTACAGCCGCCCTTGAGCTAGTCAACGTGCCTCTGTCGCTATATATTCCGTTCACCAAGCCTTGGCTTGGGAAGCGGACAGCCGACGCCGTCCATGCTGAGTTTGCAAAATGCGCGGCTGCATGTAAAGCAAACATGGCAACCGGTGCAAAACCAACATGTATCGTAGATCACTGGGTGCTCCACATGATGGAATCCAAGCGATATCACGAAAGAATCGCCGCAGGGGAGACAGACGCCGAGAAGCCAATGAACATGATCCGCGAGTTCACGAATGAGGAAATCGGAGAGACATTGTTCACTTTTCTCTTTGCTTCCCAGGATGCGTCGAGCAGCGCCACGACTTGGCTATTCCAAATTCTCGCCCAGCGGCCTGACGTGCTCGATAAATTGCGTGAAGAAAATCTGGCCGCCCGTGGTGGTGATAAAAACAAGTCCTTCGATCTTCCCATGCTCGAGTCGCTCACCTACACCAACGCAGTTATCAAGGAGCTTCTGCGCCACCGTCCACCCGTTATTATGGTCCCCTATCTGGCAACGAAAAATTTCCCCGTCACACCTAACTATACCGTCCCCAAGGGCGCCATGATTATCCCGTCCTGTTATCCGGCTTTACATGATCCGAATGTTTACCCTAATCCCGATAATTTCGATCCCGAGCGTTGGATCTCCGGGGATGCTGCGTCCAAGACTAAGAATTGGCTAGTATTCGGCGCGGGACCGCACGATTGCCTCGCTAGGAAATACGTACCGCTGTCTATGGCTGGTATGATAGGGAAAGCTGCACTGGAACTTGACTGGAAGCACCATGCCACGGACAAATCAGAGGAGATTAGAGTTTTTGCTACACTGTTTCCCATGGTTAGTACCCCTATCAACCCACCTTCTTTTACTTGTACCTTGTGCTGACTTCTAACACAGGATGGCTGCCCGTTGGTGTTTACAGAACGTTCATAGACGCCTTGGTTGCATTTCCTAGAATAGAGTTGAGTTTGTCCCGTAAGGCTTTCACGGTGGAATGATGCCCTTTGTGGTGGCAGCTGTAGAACTTCCGACCCATAAAATCGAGTTTATCATGTTGGTATATTATCTCTCTCAGCCTATTTTACAGATATATATCTCGCATGCTTCCAAAATGTGCAAAAGTCCTCACAGTCCTTGGCTTAGGTCGTCATGGGTCGCCTTTGAAACCATGCGATTAATCTTTTCAACAAGCTCATCAGTCGCGTAAGGCTTATAGATGATATCATCCATTCCAGCACCGATCATTTCCTGTTGTTGTTCATCCCTGACATTCGCTGTGACTCCCAGAATAGGTACATGTCCCCCAATTTCCTTTTCAGTATCACGAATTGCTCTCGTGGCACAGTTGCCATCCATCAAAGGCATCTGCTGATCCATGAGAATGCAGTCGAATGGCTCGTTTTGATTTGCATCCACGGCCTCTTTTCCGTTGCTAGCTTCCGATATGTCAAAGCCTAGTGTACTCAACTTGCGCGAGATAAGTCGCCTGTTGATAACGTTGTCCTCAACCAAGAGAATACGCTGACCGTCACCGGTTAGGTTCTGATTCGCCCGTTGGATCTGATCGTTCTCCACCTGGCGTGATATTTCGTGGGTACGAAGTGTGTCTTTGTCCTTCGGGCCACCTGGCTGTGCCTCAAAGACGATATCTTCAGGGGGGCTTTCCGACATCTGGGGATCTTCCGTGGTTTGATTCACACCGCTCATTTTATTTCCAAGTGTCTGGATATCAAAACAAAGTTTATCGACTGCAGAAACACCGAAGTTCTTATCTCCTTCGACACCATCGTTGGTTGTTCTGCGTACTCTGAAAAAGAACCCAAATGTACTTCCATGAGATTTCTTGGAGCTCACGCCAATCTCACCGCCATGAAGGTGGCAGAGCTTCCTAGACACGTTGAGACCAAGGCCAGACCCACCGTAGATACTCTCGGTTCTGGGGGTTGCTTGGTTGAAACGCTCGAAAAGCCGTTTCTGGGCTTCCTCTGTGACCCCAATACCCGAGTCCTTGACGGCGACCATGATATACGCCACTTCTCCACTTCCCCATTCGGAAGTACTAGTCGTGTCTCTGCGAAGCGCTGATTCACCGGAATCGAAGAAGACTATATTTGGCGGGTATGAAGTTGGACGCTCGATCGAAGCACCCACTGAGACTCGGATCGATCGCTGACTCTCTGATTGAGCGGTGAATTTGATAGCATTCGAGAGTATGTTGACGAGCACCTGGCCCATTCGATCCAGGTCTGCCATGACCCAATCAATGCCACATTCGGCATAGGAAACATCGGCCTTGTATTCGAAATGTATTCTGTGTTTTCGGAGCTCGGGTCGGAAGATCGCCATCGGAATGGTGAGATGTCGCTTTGGCTGGACCTTTCGTGGCGACAGCGGCAGCATCGACGCGTCAAGTTTCGAAAAGGTGAGAACGTCGTTGATGATTTTCTTTTGATGTCTGATGCAGAGACTTATTGTCTCGGCTGCCTCGGTGATGTTCATGACTGAGATTTCATTGGGCTTCTTGTTATAGATTGCCTCTTGAATATCCTCCGTGCAATGAACTATCGCAGATAGAGGATTGCGAATTTCGTGGCTAATCATATCAATGAATCGCTCTTGTTGCTTCTTACGCTCCTGTGCCTCTTCCGCCGCCTGCCTCTGTAGGAGCTCAGCCTTTTTCTCCGGGGTGATATCTGCGATTGTACAGATGAACACCCCACCGTCTCCTAACCCAAAGCATTGCACATATTTATCATCCAGCCGATCCAAAGTCATGACACACCAAATCGAGTCCGGGTCACGGGTGTGGTATTCGAGACGTAGCGGGCGTTTGGAGGTTGCGACCTCGCGATACCCATTGGAAACCCGCTCGTAGTCGTCCGCATGGACCGAGCGTAACCAACACTCGGAGAAGTTGACGCTGGAGCATGGCATGAGTTCTCGGAACCGGCGATTCACGGAGACCAACTCATATCGGTGGGTGAGGATGGCGACGCCGTTCGGTAGGATATCGGCCAGCTGTTGTGCCGAGACATTTTGACTGAAAGTGAACGTCATCTATTTCTTCGCGCCGAAGCGGGCTTCTTCCAATATCAACAGAAGAGACGTCGGACGCTGATAGAAAATGTTTGATGACTGCTCGATTATGTGTTACTTGCAAAAGATTCGGGTGGGGCGCATGGCAGATGAGGCTGAATCACGATCGTTGATCCTCCCGTAGTCTGTAAAGTTCAAGATTTTTTCGTGACTATCAGCCAATATGTAAGCCAATATGTGCTAGTTTATATGAGATTTCGCAACTGTCAAAAGAAAAGATATGACGATATATAATATTGTACGTCATTGTGGGTTCCCCTTCGATCTACTTCCAATGTGGAGGAAGCATTCTCTAAGACGTTATGATTGGTAAAAGAGACTGGAGTGATGTATGTTCCCTGGTGTCCACCGGGGAGTGATCCTGGATGCTTGGCACATGCCCTGCAAACTGACGTCATTCGTTTAAACTTCAGTAGCCGAGTTAGACGAGCCTCGGAGATATGCACGTTTTCACGGGCTCGATCTTGCCTTTTCTTTTCTTTTTTTCGTTTGAGATTGTTGCATAGCGGTGTTGCTTTTTTGCTTCATTCATGTCGAGAGACTTGGGGGTTGGAATGTCGGTGAAGTATGCATAGTTCTCTATTTAGCTTGACTCCGAGGCAT